TATATATATATATAAAATCAAAAGCCTTAGTCATATATATATATATATATATGAAAGTGCACAGATTTTCATTTATTTCCTCCTTTTAATTATGATTGCGCATGTTTCACTCGTGAATGTATTAATTGCTCTTGCCATAAATACACCACATTACAAACTTCAAAGTCAGTTATAGAATATCTTTTTTTTAGATAAAGAAGTCTGAAAATATTGCACATTATCTCTTTTTATTTGACCTATCGTTATTCACTTCATTTAATTTTCCCGAATTTTTCTGGCTGTTAATAGTAAATGTAAATGAAAGCATGATATAGCAATCACATTACGAATTAGCATAAGTATAGGACATACATTTGTCTACGTATATGCACGCTATGAAGATTCAACTGTCCAAATTCTGCTAATTATTACGTTAAATTGTACTTAAGAGTAATGAAATAAGAGTAAACAATATCACCCATTTCATTTTTTATTTTCAAATAATTGTTCAAAATATCATGAAGTAAATAAGTTAGTTGGAATAGATATTTCGTTGCTTCACCATTACATAGCATCATTGTAACAACTTTAATGCTGCTTTATCTCATATGTATTAAAATTATATATCAACTATGATAACTTGTAATATTAGCACAGTTTTTATTTTAGTGTTGTTACTGTTGATCGTGAAGGTGATTATAATGATGGTAGTAACAAGGAGCAATGTGAAAAATTCTTTTTGTGCCAGAACTTAAATTGACAACTGCTTCAAATTCCATAGACTGTTGTGGCATCTTGAAATTTATGAGAGGAAAGCAGCTGTGTCCGTTCTTGTGTTTGCTATTATATATAATGTATTGACGACAACTCTGTTTTGTTTTGTTTCGCTTTCTCTGATAAATATCAACTAACAATTTGTTTTGTCGAGCACATTTAAATCCGACGATATATGTGTGTTCACTCTAATCACTACTTTTTTATGTTGTTTTCAGAATTTAAGTTGTCATGAAATTTCAAAAAATTTCAATTTCTGCATCATTTTTAACAGCTGAATGATTTTGTGCTATTATGATCCAATGGTACGCTAGTAAAAACTTAAACTGAGAAGCGCAAACTTTTTAACTGAACGAAAAATTGCTTTATCGCGCGAGATAAAGTAAATAAATATAGCGGAATGCTGTAATCGGATTATACAGATAGATGAAATTATGTAAAATTATGCAAAGCAGTCATTGTTGCTTTATTTGATTCCAAGCTTCTTCTTCTTTCTTCTCGTTTTAATCCAACGTTAATTGCTAGATTCTTCACTGTTTACGTCAGAAATAATTTTCACTGCGTACTCACTCATCCTTCTTTCAGCCTTTCTTTTTACTTCAAAATTATTTCTCTTTAACATTTCACGTCCGCTTTATTTTGCTGAAGTTAATATCTTTAACGATGCATTTTTTGGTAGATCTGTTCCGTTTTATGACTTCAAGAGAATTTGCTCAATTTCTGAAATTTATAATTGTTTTAGTGATTTTTCTGAATTTTTTAAATAACATTTGCAATACTTTCATCTTCTTTACCTGTTCGCTGAAACTGTTCGCAATAATCATGATTTGTAAAACAATGCTTAGAACAGTAATAAGTGAATTTTGACGTTAGCAAAAGTGGTGATGGTAAGTGGAAAATTTTTCTGCATTATTTATAAACAACATGTTTTTATGATGAATTTTGATTAATTATGCTTCTAGTTGTGCATTCATGAAATTGATGATTTGGACTAATCAAGTATGCTACTGAGTAGCATAGCTTGCATTTTTATATAAGCACTGGAATGGAGTTATTTAATACACATCGCCTGAAGAATTATTATGAGATTGGGTATTTAAATGAAGAAAACATCTATCTTTTCAGTAAACTTATGCAGCACCAAAATATGTTTTATTTTTGAAATAAAAATTCAAAAAATGTTTTCCGCTCATGTTGATATTTTTATTACTTTTTTGCAGTTATCTTGAACAGAATAATGCCCTTCAAATGGTACTAAAATAATAATAGAAACGATTTAGTAAAGATAACATGCCAAAGGGAGATAGATAATCACTTTTTACTTGATGAATACCACAATCACAAATATTACACAAAAAAATTATTTCTTTATTTTCTTAAATTGTTATTTCAACACGTTTCTTAGATAAATTTCGATATTCCTACAGAATACATTTTGTTGACAAAAGAATAAATTACAAATTTACTTCATAAGAATGAGCAAAGAGTGAAATAATAATTCTTTTTCAAGTTACATCAATTTTCGTTTAGCCTTGTGAACTGATTGTCTTCATCTTTTCCTCTTTTTTATGCCATTCTTTCAAGTTAAAAGAAATTTATTTGTAATATTTTTGAGTTGTAACGTACCCATCAAGTCATTGTTGATTCTTAAATTTTCAAGACGAAGAAGGAAAGCCCAATAACGCTTAATTGAATAGCCAAAAAATCTTCCTTCGATAGATTTCAACTTCTAGTTGAGAAAGAAAGTCACTTTTTAATGCATATTTATGAATGATGATGTGATTATTTTATTTTTCTCTCAAACATTACTAAAAATTGATGCTCAGATAATTTTTAGTTACTGCTTTTTCATGAAAATCTTAGGAATTTTGTTTTCTTGAATAATTTTTTTTCTTTGCATTGAGTGAAATTTCTTTTCTCATGCTTGAAAAATTTATTACTTTAAAAATTATCAAAAACTTATCTGCCGAACAATCTGCTAAAATCTTTCAATGATCTCATTAAAGTACTATAATGGTCTTCTTAATTATTCTTTTTTAATTATATTTGGCTTTACACTTGACTTGATCAGATCAGACTTGATTTTAAATAATGGTTTCAACACAAGATATCTTAGTAATACATTGCCGTTATTATTCAAAGTATTCATCCTGAACTGATAAAGTTTTCATACTGATACGGAGTCAAAACTTTTTATGCAATCTTTCTTTTCCATAATTATTTATTGTGTTGTTCATCAAAAGTTAATTTTTGTTTATATTTTAATTAACTTTGACCCTTTATAAAATTTAATATAATAACTACCAAAATTAGAAGTAGAATGAATAATTATACATCTTTGTTGGTTTGCTGAAATTTTGTTAAAATAGTGTAAACAATTACAGTATAGGAAATATCAGTCTTCATATCGACGAGTTTAAAAGTGTGAAACGAATTAATCATTAATTAAATATGTAAATAGAAAGTGTCCAAATTATTAAATTGAATTTGTGTTAATAAAACTTTGAAAGATTTTTCCATTCCATTGAAATTCAGCATTTTAAATTGTGAACAAATTTTCTGTTTTCTTCTGAGATACCGATGTAAATAGTTATTATACTTTCAAATTTCATCGTGTAGTGAAATTTATCGCATTACCTATTTAAATTGTACTTACTGTAACTCGTACGCATTATTTTGACAAACAATAATCTAGATAATCATCTCGTGATGTTATTATACTTTTAATAGATGACAATTTGATCAAATAATTAACAATAATTTGGCTTTGCGAAAAATTTTCAGTCATTACATCTATGCATTTCCGTTATTATGAAGGGATAGTTAACTCACTGCACTTATGTTTTTGCTTCATGTCTTCCTTTTTCACTAACTTTAGAAAATTAATAATTAATTAATCTTTGATAGCAAATTAAGAAGTATCTCATTTTTGAATGAGAGGAAAGTTTTTGTTTGAGTTTTAGAATGAGTAATTGTTGTATTAATTAAGAATTAAGAAGTGTAGTGGAGTTTTTGTTTCTTTGCTTACAATAAATATAACAAATATTTATTCTAAAATTCAAAGAAAACCTTCCTCTCGTTATAAATGAAATCAAAGGATGACTGATTATTTTTTAAAATGCAAAGTTAAGTTTCTTAATTTATTCCATTGTTCGGAAAAATATTGTTAGAAGTATTTTGGCGCCAATAATACAGTGAGTTGCGTACTCCAATACTTCTTTGTTTCAATTAATAAGTTCTTACTTGCGTAAGCAAACTTTATGATTATTCAAAATATATCATAATGGTTTAAGTTCTTGGCATTTAGGATTATACTAATCGGGAAATGTCAAGATCTAATCAGTAGTGGTAGTTTTCGGAAAGTTTGCCAATTCAATGGATCAGCGTTACAGTTCACTGCCACCACGAGAACAGTGGTCTTCCTGGGCCGACTTTATCATGTCCTGTATTGGATATGCTATTGGTCTCGGTAATGTCTGGCGATTTCCTTACTTATGTTACCAAAATGGTGGTGGTATGTTTTATATTGCACTTACATTGTTCATTCTATCAGTCTAATTATTGATAGACACTTCATCAATATTTTTGGTTTCAATTAAAAATGAATAATTTTGCATAATCATAGTAACTTCAACTTGTCAGATATAATAATTAGTGATACAAACTTTAAAGTTAGCAACTACAAAAAAATCTCAATTTAAAAGAAGCAACAATATGTACTAATTTGATTTATTTGTACTAAATATGTTAATTTGAAATTAAATTTTTGTTTGTTTGTTGTCAGTGCAGTGAGTCGCATACTCCAACATCTCTTTATTGCAATAAATGAGTTCTTACTTGCATAATAAACTTAACAATTATTCAAGAAATATATTTTGATGGCTTAAGTCCATCAATTTCTGATCTACAATTGGAAATTACATTTTCAGTTTCCCAATTATAACTAAAAACTTGTTAAACGTTACAAAATCTTCAATGATAAGTTTACTGAAAAAAAATTATTTTATTTTTATCTCTCAAAAATGATTATTATAAATTGTAACTAATTTTTATAAATAGATTATTGAGATTATTATATTTTCAGGAGCATTTTTGATACCGTATGTGATATCTTTGATATTTTGTGGGGCGCCTCTTTTCATTTTAGAAACAACTTGGGGTCAATTACTTAGTGTTGGTGGCCTTGGCATGTTCAAAATTTGCCCAATTTTTAAAGTAATCTTTTAACAACAATCTTCATAAATTTCAGATTACAAATTAATTTTCAACTTTATGATACATTTTGCTTCATATTCATCAATGCTGCGTATTTTTAGGGTGTTGGAATAGCAGCTGCAGTGATGGCATTTTGGCTGAATATCTACTATATTGTCGTCTTAAGTTGGGCAATGTGTTATTTATGGAACTCCTTCAGACTTGACTCAAATGTTCCATGGCGAAGTTGCAATCACGAGTAATTTTGATTCACAAGTTTGCGTGAAACAAAAAGAGGATTATTTTTAATTGTGAAAATTTGTATTGATAATAGTTCCAGTTGGTATTGAAAAATGTATTAGCTAGTGAAAATTAAAATTTTGCTGAAATCTATATCAAAAAAATTAATTATTTTTACTTATTTATAATCGAAAGCATGAATTATTACAGATGGAATACTCCTCACTGTCGCAGTGAATATGAACCACTAACTTGTACTAATAACAAAACTATTGCTGAATATTTCAATGTGCAGGTATTTAAATGGGTTTTATTTTTGGGACAAGTCATTAAGACGTAGTTGTTTACGTAATTATCAGTTTTACAAATTTAACAAAAAGATTCAAAGAATTTCGTAAAATAAAATATTTTGTTCCAATATTAATGAAAAAATTTTTCAAATGTCTTTCATAAGATTCAAACTCCTCGAATAATTCATAGTACTTTGTACATGCAGAATTTAATAATTAAAGATACTTACAAAGAATCACTTAAATGAATACCGCAAGCAGTTTTTTGTGGGTTCCAAATCTAATTGGACCATTTGCAATGCTACCGATTTAAATGTGCAGTCACCAGTCAAAGAGTTTTGGAAGTTTGTTTATTTTCTTAGAATTATATCAATCAATTTAAATTGTTAAGAAAATTGGCTAAACATTATCAAAGCTTATTTTTAAGAATGATTGTTTGTAACTTTCAGTTATCAAGTGCTTGGCATTAGTTCTGGCATAGAAGTGCCGGGAGGATTACGCTGGGATCTCGCTTTATTCTTATTTATCGCTTGGGCAATATGCTATCTGTGCATTTTCAAGGGTGTACGATGGACCGGAAGGGTTTATTTGATATATATGACCAAAAATGGATTTTAACTAATAGAATCAATTTATTTTATTTTTTCACTTTCTGTCTTTTATTAAAAATTATTTAGTGAAAGCCTGCTTTACATTCTGTGATCAGTAAAAGATATATTTTAGGCGTATCTTTTTTTCTCTAATTAGATTAATTTAAAAACATTTTAGGCATATTTTCTTTTCTCTATAGCAAAACTTGAAAATTATAATTTTTTACAGCAACATTAAAGTATTAATGCAATGGATTTTCAGGTTGTTTATCTTACGGCATCATTTCCTTATTTAATGCTTTTTTGCTTGCTGATTCGTGGCGTGACATTGCCTGGTGCAAGTTTAGGCCTTGAGTTCTATCTCAAGCCAAACTTTTCTAAACTTCTTGAGAGTAAAGTATGGGTCGATGCTGTTACGCAAGTTTTCTTTTCATATGGTCTTGGCTTAGGAGCTTTAGTCGCACTTGGCAGCTATAATTCATACCATAACAATGTTTATAGGTATAGTTTTTCTTATCGATAAAATATTATAAAATTATATCAATTTCTTTATATAACTAAATTCATGCCTGATAATTTTATAGGCAATCGTTGACAGTGTGCTTAGTGAATAGTAGTACAAGTGTTTTTGCTGGTTTTGTCATTTTTTCATTTATTGGCTTTATGGCTATTCAACAAGGCAAAAGTGTTGAAGAGGCAAATATATAATTTTTTCACTTTTTAAAAGTTGTAAAATATTTGGTTAAATTAGAAATTTTCTCTTTGAAAATAAATAAAATTAAATCTGATTGAATTATTTCAGTAAGTTTTTTGAAATCAAACTATAAATAGAATTTCTTCTTGAAAATTTTGTCCAAAATGTGACAATTTCAAAGTTAAACATTATATGATAATAAATTTTTCTATTTTGAAACGTATTGTCAGCATATACGTATAATTCTTTATAGTATTTTATTAAAATATTGGACAAGAGAGAAGAAATGTAATTAATTTTAGGTGGCTCAATCAGGTCCTGGATTGTTATTTTTAGCATATCCATCTGGAATTTTACAGCTACCTTATACAAATGTTTGGTCAATTCTTTTTTTCACAATGGTGCTATTCTTGGGGATCGATTCACAAGCAAGTTAAAAATTTTTTTTTTTTTCAATACTGCCATTCATAATATTGCAACTGCGAACACTAGCAGATTGCACATGATGAATTTTGCTTTTAAAACTTTAATTTTATTTATTTTTGGTTAATTTATATAAAATTTCTACACAATGAAGTAAAGCAAAGACGTGGAAACACATTGCACAGCTAACGCTGAAGCTCACTTTATGAATACATATAGTTGTTAATTTTGAAATGAATAAATTGCTATACCATTCTCGAATTTTTGTTACAATCAAAATTTATCACATCCACATTTAGTTTTGCACAATGGAAGGATTTTTCACAGCGATAATTGATGAGTTCCCCTTCATGATACGTGGCAAAAAATATGGTCGTGAATTGTTTGTACTCGCAGTTTGTATTATAAGTTACTTATGTGGTTTAAGTACAGTTACACAAGTACGGAAAGTTTTAACTTTTTATTACTTTTATTCAAATCACAAGTCTTTAGCAAAGTGTTGCATATTTGATCTTGAAAAAGTATAATCTTTTCTGCAAGCTAAAATTGTTGCTGATAACTATTTATTTTTAAATCAAGCTGATCAAAAATAATAATTATAGAAATTATAAATTATTGACTTGTACATTTTTTACTCGCATGCATATTTCTAAGTCCAGCAAACAATTTCTGAATATGTATTTCTTAAATGAAAGAAAAGATCTGATAAATGTCTTTCGTGCTGGAAACTAGAGGGTGGGAAAAATTTAGCGATTTCAGAATTGTTGTGGAAATTTTAGGGTGGCTTTTACGTTTTTCAACTCTTCGATTTCTATGCAGCATCTGGTTGGGCGCTTCTTTGGCTTTTATTCTTTGAATGCATTGCTATTTCATGGAGTGTTGGTATGTATTTGAATTTTAAAGTTGTTGCCAATGTGATTTGAGTTAAATTAAGAAAATGAACAGTTTGTTTTTAGAATTATTCTACATACAGTATTTAAATCCAAAAATTTGGAAAATATAAAATGATTGAAGCAAGCATTATTCTTTTTTTAATGTTTTGTAAATTATTTGTAGTTTTTCATTAAAAATTTTTTGCGTCATAGTTATTGATCATTGAAGAATTTAGGTATAGACCAATGGTATGAGCATATGAAGTCGATGATGGGTTATTATCCAAGTAGATGGTGGAAATTTTGCTGGGTTTTTGCAACTCCTACAGTGTGTATGGTTGGTTACGATCAAATTAAATTAAATACAAAATTTGTTTTGCATTACTTAAAATTAATATATAGTTGATTGTGGCTTATACAAATTATACTTCAAAATTTTGCATTATATTAAAATAATGTAGCTGCTACGGTTAGTACTACAAGACATGGAGTCATACTTACTGTTTTCGAAGCTTTATAGAATCTTTTCTTATTATTGAGGAAAATGCATTGAGCGATAATGTAAAATTTCCAGATCGGAGCCGAACCATAATTCAGGTTTCCGGAAAGAAACTGAAAATGCCCGTTATCAGACCGTTTTATTTGATCTACTTGTTCTTAAAAGTTGCGAAATTACTAATTATAAATTCTGTGTCAGTTCCGGTGTGAAATTTCAGAAACAAATTGGACTATAATAGGTTTTGTAGGGTGTGTTAATTTTTGGATTAGCAAAGTATCAGCCACTCCGAATTGATGCATACAATTATGATTATCCATTATGGGGTCATATTTTTGGATGGTTTCTTTCTCTTTCATCCATGCTTTGCATCCCTTTTTATGGTATTTTCTTATGGGCTACCACTGATGGAACTACGTCACAAGTAAGCTTAACTGATTCGCTAACTGTTATTCATTGTCACGCACGTCATTACAATAAAATTTATAAATTTAGCTACAAAAAATGCTTTCTTTGTTTTGTTTTATGCAATAAAAAATAGAAAAACTAGAGTTCAAGTTTATTTAGATTTGTCTACAAATAACATATTTAAGAAATTTCTGAGAAGCTATGCAAATTTTAATTTTCTGTAATATTCATGCAATTTGATTGCTTTTTATTTCAGTAAATCCAATTATAATTAAAATGATACTCGTGACTGAAAGCGCTTCATTATGTGTGTGTGCATTGCGATTTAATAGATTTCATTTATATTTTAATGCTTCCTTTTTGAAATTACAAAATCAATCATTATTTTAGAAGTTTGAAAAGCTTTTTCGGCCTAAAATTCAATCGAAACTAGATGGTGATGCTGGACAAGAATTGATGGAATACGAAAAGTGATCATCAATCAATAAAATTGATTATGTTATTTTAATGAGTTCAAATATTTTTATTTCACTTTCACATCATCTTTTTTCTTCTATTTTTGTGCCAAATATCAATGTTTTGAGTTTGATATAATGTAATAATGATTGAAAACTGTCATTTTCATGAGTATGTAAGCAAAAACTTGCTTTCCAGTAAATAGCACGCTAGTGATTAGCAAACGAGTAATGGGTGAAGGAAATAAATGTCAAATGTTTTAGATTTTCCTTAATTTAGATATTTTTAAATAGTTCATTGGTAATTTTTTTGTGAAATTTGAATAAAAATTAAGCTAAGAATCGAAAGCAAAAATCTTTCTTTTCCATAGTATTTTGCTACATTTTATGTATCGAACTTTCTATCGAGAGGTCATTGCTTCAGTAAGCTTGTCATTACAAATTAACTGTTGCCATCAAAGCTAAACCGATGAAATTACATGTTATTAAAGTATAGGATGTGTTCATTGAATGTAACATAATTGCAAAGAAAGTCATGTAAGTTTCAAGCTATTCGACATTGAAACGTCATACTGCCTTCAATACTATGTGTGAGTAGTATCTGTGTTATGTGCAAATATTGTGCAAAATTATCAAAATATGTATTTTTTGTTGACAACGGAGATCAAGTAAATCGCAGTAGTAGTTCAAAATGAATATTTTAAGGAAAATTTATGATGTTCATCTACGAAACTGAATGAAGTAACCATTATTGCATGTTTCATATCATGGAAGTCTCATTGATTAGCTTTAATGGCAAATATTTGTAATGCTATTTAAATTTGAGTAGTCAAAAAAAAGTTAGGGAACTGGCTTAAAAGGTTCGATGCAATTTTACTCAAGCATCTTTCGAATAATCAAATGATAATTTTTGTTATCTTGTTCAGTTAATCACTGAAAAGAACTAACTATACAATGGTCATTCGCTATTGCATAGGATGTTTTCTGTTGCATAAACATTAGCATTTCTTCCGCATTATTTGAATTTGAATGTCTTCAAAATGAATTCATATAAGATTGATTAGTTTAATTCACTGCTAAAAAGAGTAGCAGTAAAAAGATGCAAGATATTACGCAAAATGTTGGGAGTTTAATAACTACTGTTTCGCTAATAAATTTATGTAGGAAAAGCAAGAAACAAGCATTGAAAGCCTGTCTTTTGATAATCGTAACAAATCATTCTGATTTTTATGCATATTCTAAACGAAATAATTGCCAGTACCAAATTAAAATTAATATTTTGCTATTAAAGCTTAATGATTGTTTTAGTTCAGAACATTTTACGTCATGGATGGCTCGGAAATTTTTGTCAAAATTTGTGGTGTAATAATATCAATTTTGAACGAGGAGAAGTGCTGTTTTTTGATCAAGTAAAAGCTTTCAATAAATTTTTCACATCAATCAGTAAATAGTTGACACATTTTGAGAATAAATTTTGTAAATCATAACTGAACAATAATTCTTTCAAGTTATTCAAAATATGAGTGCAATATTACCTTACTACAAAACTTGAAAATTAAAGAGTTAAAGGGAGCGATTTTTTGGTACTTTTGCATTTTTTGATGATATGCAGCTGAAATTATAAAGGTTTGGTTGACTTATAAAGTAATTTCCTATGAGATTTTTGCATCTCTGAAGCTTGAATTAATTTTGAAAGTTAGTTGATTCCTAATTACCACATTTTATGCCTACTCTACGTGATAATATTATTCAAAAATGTTCATAAGGAAAGTGCGTTATTTATATCACTTTGCTCATCAATAAAATCATCTTTTCATCTGATGAATCAACTTTTGCTATATTCTATTCATGTCTATTTTCCATTTGTTTACTTGTTGCATAAGTACACGGAATATGTCAAAGTCTTTAAGAGGATAAATTGTCACAAGCGAATAAAATTATGACAACGAGACAACAAAAAAAGTTTGAAAATTAAGATACAAAGGATAATTTATGTCATGAGCATTACTTTAGAATATGGAAGGTTATCAGTACTTTGTTAACAGTGATGGTGGAAAAAAAAATACGGAAACTTATATGTTACTGATAATTTGCGACAGCTGATCTTTCCTAATGCTCTACACAGGCACAAAATTGGGATATCGTTCCCCAATTACCAATCATGAAATTCATAACTTCATTGTAATTATCTTCTTGACCTTGGAAATGTTCATGAATCATTTCACAAATAACATGAAATTTCCAATTCGAACTGCGTGCAGCTTTAAATAATTGACTTTCGATGCGCATAGAAAGTGTTGCCAATGAAAACTGAGCAGATCGAGACCAAGACAAACTCCCTAAAACTCATACCATTCATATTCATGCGGCCGAGATCAATATTACTCCCTTTGTTTACTTATTCATACAACGTTACATATTTGGCTCATTTTTTGGGGTCTTAGATACTAGCATTTACTCGCTTGAAGTTTTTATAGATCTCACTATAACTTCATAAGTTCAATGCATATTGAACTTTGTAATGCATATGACAAACTTCTTAGAAATTAAAGTTTCATCTTTCATTTATTGGAAGTAATCTTCTCGATTTAACAGGGAATTACTTACTGGAAAAGCAATTAATCAAATGAGAATAAATCACCTTTTGTAAGTGCAGTTTTTATGAACGAAGGCTTAGATGCATTAATTGAATCTATCAATTGTTCTATGCCAATGCAATGTCTGAGTATAAAAGCAGGTCGCGCTGTTGTCTAAAACAATATGCTTTATAGCTTATAGGTTAATGCAGAAATTTTGGAAATATTTGGTTTAATCACTTCTGAAGGAGTACAAATTATTGAGCTCTGCTTTCACAAACTGGAAAATATACTTACTTCAGAGGTGCTGCTTACAAATGATTTGTCTTTCTGAATAATTAGTGTTGATTCGCTTTGGATGGGAATGGAATCAGAAAGATTTTTGATCGGCTGCGGAGAAGAGAACACCGAATTCATATCATATGACGTACTTTTAGACAAGAAGGAGTTTGAAAGTGGAGATGAAGCTGTAGATGACATATTCTCTGAAAATGTCATGTTTGTTATTGATTTTTGTTGGTCTACATTGATCATATCTATCGTGGACTCCGATTCATTCATGTATTTTGCCGTTGAATTGTCTGGAATGGTACTGATTAAATTTAAAAATGCTGCATACGAATATACTGAGGAGAGCAGCGAAGCCAAAACAGCTTCCAATAAATGTGAATCATGTGCTGGCACAGTATATGCGTTTTTAGCCCCTTGCAAAGAATTTCTTGTAAAATCCGTCAATGATATATCTATATATGAGGAACTTGTAGATGAAATTGATTGTGGTTCTGATAAGAAAGGAACAGTTGATGATGATGTTTCTGAAAATGGTTCTATAATTAGCTTGTTGTCGAGTAATAATGATGAAGATAATGTAGCAGAAGGAGCTATTGTTGATAAAAATGAAGAATTCAAAGGCAGTAATGTCGTTGCTGAGAGTGATGTTGGTTTCTCTATTAGCGTAGTCGTTGTCGCTAGAAGTGTATCTGGTAAGACTGTTTTTGATGGCTCCAACTCTGGAGCAATTGTTGATGAATGTGTAGGTGATGGCAGTGCTATTGGTTGCATTATTAGTGGTTTTGTAGATGGAATAGTTGCTGTAGGTGGAAGACTTGTTGATTCCAATGAAGGCGCAGTCGTTGTTGCTGTAAGTGTCCTTGCTGTAATCGTCGTTGGTTTCACTGTTGTCCATAAATATGATAGTGATGACTGCATTGCTGGTTGTATCGCCAATGGAATAGCAGATGGTGGCAGTTCTACTCTCAGTTGTGGATATGTTGTTGTTCCCGACGCTGGTATCATTGCTGTCGATAGATGTGTCAAAAACATTGATGCTAACGATGGGAATATTGCTGGATTTAAAGTTGATGTAATTGTCGAAGTGAAAGGTGCTTTTGGCGTAACTGTCGAAGTGAAAGATGCTTTTGGCGTAACTGTCGAAATGAGAGATGCTTTTGGCGTAACTGTCGAAGTGAAAGCTGCTTTTGGTGTAACTGTCGAAGTGAAAAGTGCTTTGGATGTAACTATCGAAGTGAGAGGTGCTTTGGATCTAACTATCGAAGTGAGAGATGCTTTTGGCATAACGGTCGAAGTGAAAGGTGCTTTGGATGTAACTTTGGATGTAACTATCGAAGTGGGAGATGCTTTTGGCGTAACTGTCGAAGTGAAAGGTGCTTTTGGTGTAACTGTCGAAGTGAAAGGTGCTTTTGGTGTAACTGTCGATGAAATTGTTGAAGAAAGAAAATTTGGTTTTGTTGATGATGCTGCAGAGCTTGTTAGTGATGACTCTGAAGAAAAAGTAAGCTGTGACGTGTTATTTGCAGGTGAATCTGGTTGCAAGGTTGCTCTAAGCTCATATGCTGAAGTTTGGGTAGAAGTGAATATCATTGTACGGTCGCTAGAAGTGTAAATTTCATTTGATGGAATGCCCTCAATGATTGCTAATAGTGCAAGCAAGTATATTTCTAATGCTTGTGATTTTAAGCTAATTAAGTTATTAAGAAATTCAAAATTTGTGATAATAGAAGGTGAGGAAAGCTGAGATCCATGTATTCTGCTAATATTTTCAAGTAATGGTAGTGCAGTTGATCTTAAAAAAGATTCACTGGAGTAGAATTGCTGTGAAGAGAGTAGCTGCTGTACTGTCGACGTACTTTTTTCTAACAGATGGTCAGAGCTGTTATTTGCAGATGTCAGTGATGAAGTGTTTTCTATTTCCACTTCATCGTCGGCAATTACATTAAGCATTGAGGGATTATTTGTGGAAAGTTGTGAATTATTATTCAATGTCTGTGATGTCGCCATAGTTACTGGTAGTAGCTGTGATAAGGTAGGCAAAGAAAATGCTTGTGAATTTATTTCAAACTTCGGTGATGTGAGAGTTTCAGTCACTGAAGATGAAAAATTTGCTCTAGAAACATTTGATTTCAAAATTACTTCTTTCGATTTCATAACTCCTGTAGTTTTCGCTGGCGCAATTGTATTTGATGTCACCATTGTTTTGAGGGAGTTTTTTTTCTTTGCTTGAAAATTATTTGATTCGGAACTAGTTTTTATTGAAAGAGATCTCTTAGTTGTTTTTGGTTCGAGTGTAGATAATTTCAGTAATGCTTTAGTGGTATTATTCTTCAAGGATATCTTCGAAAATGCATTTGCATCCATGAAGTTTCTTCTAGATGTTTTAGAAACGTTTTTAGTTTCTGTGCTGGAAGCAGCAATGGACAGCGGTATGCTAATGGTCTTAATAATTTTTGAGATAAATTTTACTGAATTATTTTTGGGTAGATGTGCACTCATTCCAAACAAAACTTGTGAGGAAACTTTCGATTTTTTCTTATTGGTCGCAATCTTTTTTACTGTTCGTGTAGTTAGTGATATAACTTTTTTATTTTGCATTTGCTGATTTTGTTTGGTTTGTTTTCTCTTAGAATCTTCTTCTTTCATTGGCACGCTCAAATTTTGATATTTCATTGTTGTTAACTTTGTTTCAATTTTCATTGCTTCAGTAGAAGTAACGATTGAAGTGCTAGATTGATTGCCGAAAGCATTTGGTGCATCAAAATTGTGTTCGTCTATTTTTGCAAAATCTGTGGACATTTGTATTGCTTCTGTTGGCCGGTTTTCGATTTTGGTCGTTAATTTTTGACTGATACTGTTGTTAGTTATTTTCTTCAAGGACTTAGTTGTTGCTTTATCTCCAATGCTATAATTTGAAGAGATATTTTGAAAGGGATATGCAGTCATTCTCGATTGTGTGTCTGAAACTGTTGTAACACTTGATAAGACGATTTTCGTATCAAGGTTCATTTTGGGTAAGATAATGGAAGATGTAGTATCAATTTCTGGTTTTTTTACACGCACTCTCCCTGATTTTTCCTTTGCTTTTTTTGTTGACTTTGATGAAAAAATATTTGTGTGATTTTTTGAAGGTGACAGTTTTAAGGATTGAGTTGTTAATTCTGAAGTTTTTAGAATTTTATCAGCTAGTTTTGTAGTCGACTTTTGTTGCTTATTGTTTCCATGTTTCTTAGCTAATGATGTTGTCTTGTTGCCATCTCTCAATTCCGTATTTATCATCGTCGCACTTTGCTTTATCATTGGTTTTTTTTCTTCATCATCTCCAACTTCCTCTTCAATGTAATTATTGATAACATAAATTATCACCGACGCATTATTCGTTTTCTCAGTTGTCTTCTTCTCTAATGATTCTTTACCATTACTCATTATTTGGCTGATTGCTTTCCACAAGTTGTCAATCAAATAGTGCATAATTTGTGTCGAAGTTTTTTGATCATTAGCTGGATGCTGCAAACTTTCCAACTCTTCAACTCTTCTGCCGTGTTTGATTGCAATGACTGCATTTGTCTGACTTCCTTCTGAAATAATATGGTAGAAATAGAGAGCAGAAAACCAATGGTTCAGAATAAATTGTTTGCTATTTAAAAACTTACAAAGAATAATCATTTAAAAACTGATTATCAAACGGTCGGTTACATGCTTCATAAAACAAATGCTCGAAAGCTGTTGAATAATTGTCTTTAAACTTTTCAAAATATATTAACGTCTGATTAATTCCAAATGTATATATATTGCTTATCTTAAGTAATCACGCTAATTTTAAAACTGTTAAGAAGCAAATAAAAATTTTCATCTTTTTTTTTGACAGGTGTAAAATGATCACTTTTAACAACTGTAAGATGTTGTAATCATCAAAAATTTTTAAAATAAATCAGAGCAAAAGATCATGATTTATGCTAATCAGGACGGTAAAAAGGCGATATATTGAGTGTCTTAAAACAGTAGTAAAAAATTTACTTCATCATCACTTTTATTATTTGAAAATATATGAGTTTAGGCAATTTCATCTTTATCCTGAGCAAATACTTGGTCTCGTACTTTAAATCTTGATATGTGCTTTTTTTTAATCCTCCAAAGATTTAAACGGGTAAAAAATGCAAAGTCAGACAGAAATTTTCAAAGTTGAGTCAGACGAAATATCTTACAACTATGATACTAACGGAGTTCGTCGTGAACTACTCAATATATCAAAATTTATCACGCCTTTTTGAGTTGCTAGCAAAACAACAAAGGACAATCTCATTTAATAGCTATAAAATTTTATCGCTTGAATTAAAACTATTAAAAATATAAATAAATAGACAGCCCATCTTTTGGTTGCCAAATGCAATCAAATGTGAAAATTAATTTCTTGGTTTCTCAAAAGTAATTAAGCAATTTTTATTGCAGCCATTATGGCTTTTAATCCACTTTTTACATGCCACCTAATAAAAAATTCTGTTTTTCTAAACGCAAAATTTTGGTTTCTATTTTTTAAATACATGCAAAGGCAAACTTTTCTGAAAAGATGACATGCATGCGAAAGTTCTAGCTTTCGACAGAAATTTTTTGGTTTTGAGAAATATAAACTTTCTGTCCTAAAGAATTTCATGAAAGTATAACTTTTTACTAAATCATAATTGCAAAAAATTCAAAAAACAAAGAATGTAACCTTGCTTGCCGCATGAAATAGAAAGAAATAAAATTGCACAATACTGTAGAAGCATTGTTGCTTCTGCTTAAGCGCTCGCTCGATTTAGCAAGATACCACCACAGTTGTAAACTAAATTATTGCCATGACAGAAGAGACTTGAAAATAATTCCAGTGAAAACAATAACTCTTAATTCCATGATCAATTATTAATATTTCCAATAACATTACAGCACAGGGCTGAATTTTATGATTAAAGAGCCAGTTAGAACCAGTTCGCCAATTTACCCAGCTATTTTGCTATTTTCATCGTAGCTGATTAACTGTAATAAGCATGAAATTGGAACTTAACTTATTTCTTACTGCTAAAAATAAATGAAGATAGTAAGTAAATTTGTATTTCAAAAAATATATATTTTGATTAGTTAACAAGCAAAATATAAAACAACAAATTATTTTTGCAGAAAATATCAGTTAATTAGTAATTTTTATACTTGCTTTTTATAAGCACGCAGAGTTTTACATAAATGAATATGTAAAGATGCAAACAGAAATATAAATACAAATAAATAAAGAAAAGAAAATATGTACGTTAGTCTTCTTATCCACTTTATTGATTCTGGCTCTGGATCGTACTCTGGCTGTACATGTCGCGTAAAATAAGTAAATAGATATTAATATAAACAAATAAGTAACTAAATAAATGAATAAATAAACAAATAAATGGATTAACATGTATTAAACCAATAAGAACCTGTAATAATGGGGGTACCATTAAAACTACTTACTTGGTATTTTCTATTGGTAACAAAGCTGAGATTTCCATAACAAATCGGAATGGAACTCTCTTTTGCTTTACTAAACAATAATTTAGCCTCTGATTACATTGGAAAAACTGAGTACTTAGTACATTGTATTGCTGCTGCACTACTAAATATGTAATTGGGCCAACTGCTGTTTGCAATTTTTTTGAATAATTTTTTTAAACTGTAATTTTCAAAAATTAATTGACACTTCAAATTCCAGAAATTTTTGATAATTCTCACTAAAGCTGCTAATATTTTGTAGCATATATTTTATTTGTCTTAGATTGTTGAAAATAGTTTTTTGCTGTTAAATATTTGTGATTATTACCTGTAGATGGTATTTTTCAAGTTTACCCTTTGTTTAATCATGATTCCTTGTGCAAATACAAGCAGATTGGCAATAACTCATTACAATGACCTTCTCACTTGTTATTGCCAATCTTCTCCAATTAACATTTTTGTAGAAAGCTTTTTTGGAAAGATAAAGTCCATCTTGGATTTAAATTATTTATCACATAAATGAAGCAACTTTTGCTTGCTATTCAATTCACTTTGTTCAAAGAAAGCACAAACATTTTGTATCACTTCGAGTAAAACATTTTGTAGAAACTTTGAAAAAAAAAGTACAATTCACAGTAATCTTCAAATCAAGCATTATTCGTTGTTAAGAGCAGTTGACTATCCCTCGACCAAATACAAGTTAAGTACTGCTTTAGCAGCAGTCGATATTTGTCCGAAAATAACATATATATAGCTATATTGCATGATGCGTTCACCATTACCTGAAATATTGCTTCGCAACTCAAAAAACAAACTGAAAAGAACCAAAAAAGTGCTTCTTAATGAGCAAACTTCTTTTATACTAACTGCAAAGGACAGAATTTATGTGAAGTTAAGTCACACTGCTAAATCATATTTCTTAGCACTTCTAAAATGTAGCGATTTCGAAAATGCTGTAGCTGGAAGAAGCCAACTCTTAAAATCTTTAAAAAAATCTTTTTAAGATTGTTTCTTTTGCTGCTAATTTCAGATTTTCAGAGAATGTATAATGATCATCATTAAAGGTTATAAACCAATTATGATTTAATATATATATTTTATACTGATTCCATGCTAATGACCATTCTTCACTTTTTTTTGTCTTTACTTTAATAACACTTCTCTACGATGCATGTTGATATAGATGGTTTTACTGATTTCAACACAATTTTGATAAAAGCAGTTACTTTCATTATCAAACCTTGCTTACTAGTTCAATTTTTATCAATAGCGCCTTTTTGTATTTAATTTTGATAAATATTTGATTAAGTATTGATATTTTGTCATTACAAATTACTGGAAAATAAAAATTAAAAATAAATGCAATTGCTTGCCAAGAAATTGTTGTAAGTGACAAGTGAAACGTATAAAGAAGTGTTGTCATATCCAACATTCTCGAGAATATTAACGACGAAAGCTAATATATTGCATGACAGAAAGACGAGCACAATTGCAATAAGCATTATAGATGTTTGGCGTTCTTTTCGTTCAGCTTGTTTTAAGGACTCATCTGGAACAGTACTTTGTCTTCGATGTAGTCGATTTGAGCGTCGAACGGCCAGAAGCACCTATAAATAATGCAATTTCCATGAAACTGCTTTTTGGTTCATCGAGTTCTGATTTGAATTTCATTCTTATATTTGCATTTTAAACTGATTGAGAAATCAATTATTACTCTGAAATGCTGTAAATAAAATATGTACATTTTGGAGAAAGATAAGAGAAGCACTGCATTTGACAAATTTTGCACAAAATATTCTGCCAAAATATCAGTATGTCATACTATTATACATTGTAATCATTTTGGAAAAAGGAAAAAAACATGTAACAGCGCAATAAGTGATGTAGTAATTCGTTGCATAACTTTTTGTAGGCAGACAAATGAGAGTTTTGAAAGCCTGTAATGCTCACCTGAGAATTCAAAATAATGAGTAATGAAAACGGCATCACAAACATTAATATGGTATAAGCCCAACCAAAAAATATGAGACGATAGGTTTGATCAAGTCGCAAATTTGATGGTGCCAACACCGGAATGAAGGCATTAATATTTGAGCGAAAACAGTTATTTACAACACGAACCTGCAATTATTAATGCATTTATTGGATTAAATAAATTTTTTGCGTTTTATTTACAAAGGAAATAAATATACGGCAATTATACTCAAAGTTTCCTTCCATTTTTCATCACATTTTTACCTCTTTTTTCAAGTATAGTTGCATCTACATGTTTCTGACATCCGTTCACATTTCAGATCTTGAATTCAAATTTAAATGACCAGATTAATATAGATTAAAGTAAACAAATAAAGAAGAAAGATTTCTCCTTACTTTTCATGCTAAAGCAATACTACTACTACTGATAATAATAATAATAATAATAATAATAATAATCTGTACAGAAATATTATTAATGTTTTAGTTAATTCTTCGGTCAAAATCTACATTTTAGCGTCAAAGATTTTCGATTTTTGAAAATTTTCGCAGTTTGTGGTGTATGTTAAGCGCATTTTATAAACACGCATTTTTTAAAATCCCCCAAATTTTTATGCACTAATTGATTGACAATTAAAAATAATTGCACATTATTATTATTATTTATCATTCAATAGTAGAAGATTAGCGAATATTTGCTCATGTATTTTGTTACAAAATAGAAATTAGCTAATACTTATTATTCTTTCTCACTTTTTCCAGCAATTAGAAGTAATGCAATATAATTTTTCACTGACGTCATCCTATTTTTCACTCCAATTAAATAAAAGCTGAAGCATGATTATAAGCAATTTTAAAATTATTTTGCTTCATATAACTGAGTAATTTATTTTCACCTTGTCCTGGATTGAAAATTTAAATTAACTGCCATTTCATTCAAGTTGAAAAGAAATTGCAGCAACTGCAGCGAAAATATAAGCAAAGTTACAACGCATTTTACAAAGCCTTTTACATCTTATTCATTTAATTCTTTTCAGCTCTAAATAAAACCATGGTGAATCTTCTTGATTTCTGCAGTCTAGCATTAAGAGCATATGAGCAAAAGGGGATTAATAAACAAAACAAGGTCAATTTACAACAAATATTTGTTCAATACCCTGATTTTTACAATTTGTTTTCTTTGCTTCCAATATTTTTGAATAATTTGCAAGTAAAAGACTATATGAATCAAATAGGGTGGCACTAATTTTAAAGCACGTTATATTCGAAACAAATTGTGCACCTTCTATTTCTATTCACTAGCAAGCAGATGTCGATTTTCTGATTTTAATTACTCTAGTGAAGCACATCAAATCACGCTAATTATTAATGGCTTTTCTTAATTGTTCTCTAGAGAAAACTTCCCCACATTACAAATTTTCAGAAAAATAATCGGTTTCTGGTCGCTAAGCAAACCAATATACCAAAAAATAATTTTTAATAGCATGACTTTAAATGACTTTAAAGTACGTTTCATGCAATATTTCACGCTTTCAAAAATCGCAAAACTAAGTAATTGATTACTTTATTTTCCGTCGAAACTGAATGTACATATTCTTTCCCTTAAATGTTTATCGATTTTTTCATTTTCTAATTTGCTAATTTAATTTTTTTGAGAGCTAAATTCAGTTGCAAAAGTTTTGATGAAACTTATATGAAAATCAAATTTCTTTTTTTCCAATAAAATGAAATTTGTTTTCAAGATTTGACGTCTAAATATTATTAAGTATGTACAGATAGTACCTCTTGATGACAGAGAGTGCCATTAGTGTTAAAATTACAAAAATCGAGAAAATAAATGAAAATAAAACGGAAATATTGGCATACCTCAAAAAATCGAGTGATATTGAAGAGGAGAGAGAAAATTAGAAGTGATAAAATAAATATTCGAACTCGAGTTTTCTTGAGTATTGACGGTGCTTTGAACGGTAAACAAACTCCAATATACCGATGAACAGACATACCCGTTGTCATCCACACACTGTAATTATTTCAGTTTACTGAATATAAAAGTTATAATTAGCAGAGAAAATCAAGAGTAGCAAGCACAAAGCCCGTATGATTATAAATGCATGATCAGCTTTTGATATGCCTTGTCATTTGGTTTGAAATGATGACATTTCACTGAATTTATTTGTGTGAATTTCATACAAATCGAATTTTGGAAAGTTAATTTTGAATATGTTCTGTAATTTATATATACATATATATATATATGCATATGAAAAGTAAAAAACAATGCTTGCTAGAAATCGATTTCAATTCATTTAGCGTCATCAACTCGTCAACTGAATAACACTTTCAAATATTACCTTTATTAGCGGAATTATAAAATTTAATCAGTGCTGTAGTGAATATTATGCACGCTCACAATTTTTTTTTCAATTCAAAACTACTCGTTTGCTTCATTCATTCGTAAAATCTATAGTTTTTGAATGCCTTTACACTAATCAAATTGTGACACTTTTAAAAAATGATTTTCACTCTTCTAAGCAAATTTATTACTCAATTTTTTGATGGTTTTAAAAAAATTGTGAAATAAAAATGAATAATGTGAAGATTTGTCAAGTAATCAATGCAACGTTGGTATGATGGTTGCAGGACTAGTGTACTTTACTGATTATTGGAATTCTCGTTCCATTATACGTTTAGTTCTCAGCCACAAACTTTCTTTGCTTCAATCCCAAAGTTTCTCAAGTAAGCAAAATAAAAACTACCAAACATTTCAAAGAGTTAAAAAGTGCTTCGAGAAATGTGTCAGCCTTAAAAATAGCCTTTGGGTTTTTGTTCATTGAAGAAAAACTGAAAGAAAGTGTTTCATCTTTTTTGCCAAATTCTCGATTCATGATTGAAAGCAAGTTTATCTGGTCAGAAGCAACTTGAATAAGCTAACTTTAATCTTTCAAAATCAAAACATTGTAAAACTTCTTTTAAGTACCAATAAATACTATTTGATTTTTTTCAGATTGATCGTTTTTATTGTAATTTGAGTACAATAAGTGAGTTTTAGGCCTGTATGTCTCTTATATAAATACATAAATAATATAAGGCTGCATGATCCAACTAAATGAATAAAGAACTTGGTGGTTATGCACATTCAAAAATCTTAGGTTTTCAAGTGATAAATCAATAGAATGGAACTTGCCTTATCGTTTGAGCGAGAGTCATTAGACCATACATATAAGGCGCGACCCAATAACTGAAAATGATGGAATTGCAAGAACTTAGTATATTAAAGTGGATATCAATTAACAAGATTCAAGAGACTTTTATTTTTCCCACAAATACTTTGAATGATTTTTCAGATTTTAGGATGATAAGTTTCAAAAGATCAGTAATACTTGAATCAAGCAATGACTATGTTCTTGCTGAAGAATTTCAAAAGCCACATCTAGCTATATATATAACTTTTTGTAAAATGTTTCAACTGAATTGTACTTCTGATCATCAAAATAAGGAAAGAATAATAGTCATTACTTCTGATTTCCATTATGTACAGATTGAAATTTCTAAAATCATTTATTACTACTCATTAAATTTTTCATTTAATTTTGATAAAATTTAAAATCGATCACGAACTTGCACTTATCAAAATAACTCTGTTACTCTTTTTCTCACAGATAGAAAAGTTCAATTGCCATGTGTAAATTTAACAATTTCAAATTTTCAAGAAAAGCAAATGGTAAAGCAGCTGTCTTATTTATTCTCATTGTAAAAAAAAACTTTCCCTGTCCACAGTCCATCAGCTACTAAAAATCAAGGTAACAAGGGCGAAGATGATGAATAACAGTAGTTAAGCCGCTTTTATATGATGATACTTTCGCTTATTTTACACATTATTCCATTGTCAGCAATCTATGATTGCTTTGATACTGGTATAATGAGTAAGTAATTGAGCAGCAGTTCTAAATTTAAAGTATTTAATTCGATCTTATTTTGAAGAACCATTATTTTTTGAACTACTACATATGAAGCTCCCATCAATTCATAATTTCTATCAGAACTTTTTATATTGAAATATCGTATGTAGCAGCTGAAACAGTACTGCAGATAATAAAACTTTGTCCAATTGGTTTGTATTCACCGCTTTCTTTCACTTAAATTTAACAATACAGCTGAAATATCTCCCCTCAGATCTTTTTGGCACTAATTTAAAAAAATTACCCATGTTTGAGTCCCAGAGTTTGAATACAGAATATGCTTTCAGTTTTCTTGTTTCCAAGACCACTACATTCGAAGAAAAGAGTTAAGCTAACCCATGCCCATTTACCCATAATTTTCTTTGAATTGTTGAACAAAATACGTGCTCATACGAAATTTAATGAAAATAACAACTGCTAAATGAATAAAGCCACTCACCAACTAAGAGCATTTGCAGTACTCTTCAAGAAAAACATTTTAAAATATGGTAATGAACTAAGTTTTCTTAGAATGACAAAAGGAACAATTGTGAATAACGGAAGCAAATTCGACCAAATGACTGCAATATGTGTATTCATGAAGTAAGAAAAGGAAGTTTAATAAGGCTGAATAAGAAATGGCGAATATAGTTGATGAATGCGAACAATATGCTGCTTTTTTTAAGTCAAATTTATGCACACAGTTTTCAATAATTTCTTTTCACTCCTACCAAGTCAGTAATAAGGTACAGAACAAAAAAGTAGTTATCGAATAGTTATCCATTCCATCCTTTTAAAGTTTTCAGATTACGGAATTTAAATAAAAAGTATTTACTTTTTTAAGCAATTTTCCTTTGTGTGGATTTCTGCAAATATTTTTTGATCTTCTAATGTTAAAAAACTGAAAACGCGCGAAATGATTCTCGAAGATATTGATCACTCTTATTCGAAGAAGAGCATTATAGTTATGGCTGAAAACAATTCAAGTGTATATCTAAACTCTTTACGACTTCAGCATGCATTTGCTTCAAGTGCTGCATACAATCATCTGATTTAGTAGCATAGATTGAACTGGTATAAATTGTTACTGCACGTTTAATTCTGTCTGTTTGTAAGTAACTAACTAATGAATGCCTGACTTAAGGAAATAGCAACAGCTGGCTCTGATGAAAGATTGAGTAGTCATCGCTCGTCTGAAAGTACTCATCTCTTACGTGAACTTTTCATCACTATAGAGCATTCTTTTCAGTTGAAATTTAAATACTTTTACATTTTATTCAAATTTAGTAATCAAACACTATTTTACTTCCACTTCCTTTCCATATTCCAGATCTTTTATCATTCTTCACCAGAACCAAATCCAAACCCATGTAACAGCAGCACACCAACATATACAATAGTGGACAACCTCAGATTCTATGGATTACTTAGTACCTACTTCATAACAAAACACTGCATTTACCTCGATCGACTCTGCTTCTCAGTATTTCTCTCTTACGAATAATGATAAATAATGCACTACGGTGAACATCAGCAGTTCATCGACAAGCTAACAGATCAAACACTCATACCAATCAAACCTTTACTAACATCAAGTGCCAAGCTACCATCAATCATCTACAACTGTATCAATCTACTCTGGAACTTGACTGATCTTTACCAATTGAATTTTACACGCAAATCACGAGACATCTGTACTCGATACATTGCAGCATTCCAAAAGTCCTCTAACTGTGGCAGTACAAAGTTACAGTTGATATTCTATACTAAGCCATTATTTGAGAACAGTTTATTCACAGAATCTGAACAGTTACCATCCGAAGAACAAAACAATACATAATGAAACAATATTAAAAATATAGATAAAACAGCAGTGAATCACTAAGTGCTGATAAATTTTGAATAATGATTCAAGGAACAAATAATACTAAACTTAAGTCACCTAGTGTATTCAGGACAGAAAAAAGACAAAGCATGAAAATCCTATTTTGTTAGTGACGAGAGTTGTATTTTCAAAATTATATCAAAATCGATTTCCCAGAAAAAATAAATATGTGTAAGGAGACAGAAAAAGTTGCGTGATCTAATTTCAATAACCACACTAAACAATGATGTCACAGCCATCATTTTCTATCTTCAGACTCATTCAGAAACCGACTCCTCTCGTGAACAATAAATGACTGGAGAATTTCTAGACGTAAATTTAAGAGACAAATTGCAAGGTTACAGCATTTACCATCAATTAAAGTGGCTGGAATATTACTGAAACAATGCATAAGGAGAAGCGATGTAAAAGATGTGAAACTGGGAGTATTGCATACACTTCACAATGTTTGACTTGTGACCTTATTTAACGATTTTAAAAGGACTTGAAGCTTAAAACACAGACCTTAGCAAAAAATTAATTTAATAGATCCTGGTTATTTAAAACATATACTACTTGTAAGTGGACTGTAAAAGTACAACTTTTATAAATGAGATGAATAACAATCTTTTCCAAACCTGAATCTGGTAGCTGACCATGTTTTGGTATATTCACTCAATCTGGGTAATGAGAGAACAAAAAATGCAGAGAATAAAATAAGCGTATCGGAACTAGAGAGAAAAGCAAGATACCAGTTAATGGATGAAGAAACCATGAGGCGATGGGTAAATATGCGGACAGAGGTAATGTTTGCGCACAGGCCAAATATAATAATCGGTAAAGTAATGAGGCCTAATAACAGCTTTTCCTCATATGCATAAAACTGATAAGACAAGTGACATTCGCAATCAACTGACAATATAGTACACCATTGCGGTGAAACATCATCATACTGGTATTCATTTTCCGTTATGCCACCACTAGTAATTGTGGTACTGTTTATAATCAAATGGTACAGAGAAGGATCAGTTGCGACTAAAGACTGAGTAAGGGCAGTGGTTTTACCGTTTATTACAGTGTCAAAAGTAGTAGTGGTAATAGAGCTGGTAGTAGTGGTATGGGAAGATTGATCGGCTGCAATCACATTCATAATTAAAGAACTAGCTGGACTTTGTATAGGGTCATTGATACTGGAAAATAGAGGCAAGATAAAAGGCTCTGGATAGTAGTAGCCTAGGCTGAGAGAAAGCATCTGACATTTACGAGTCCCGCCCTCTTCTGAAAAGTGAGTGAACAAGAGTTGATTACTCTCTTAAACAGTAGCACCAGCCTCCTGCAACTAGCATTCTCAGTAACACATATATACATATAGTCAGCGACAAAATAAATGAATGGATGGTAATTCCGTACACAATTATAACACAAACAACTTGAACAGTACTCAACTTCTTGCTTCACTTACGCGGCGCATTGGGGAACCTTTCTTCGTAACGTTCATCACGAAGAAACTTGGCCCATACCAACTGACCTGAAATATAACCCCAAATTTACAGATGAAAAAGAATCTCATCTCCTCTGACTCAATCTGCTAAATTAAATATTATTATGATAACACAATTGAGTACTCAAACTATTCAAACACTCTATGGCTGTCACATCCATTCATCCAATAATTTAATTCATATTACTCAAATTTTATTTAGTTTTAAAAATATTTTTTGCACCTAACGTGAAGAAGGATGTACTCATTTTTCAAAGCCAAATGTCAAATCTCCAAAATAAAAATCGTAGACTGCACTAATATTTCTGCTCGAATGAAGTGAGAAGAGAAAAAAAATACTGATTCTTTGAAAATTACAATTTTCTGAAACATTATCTTTTGTAAGTAACATTCTCTTATTTTTTATATCTGATTATTATGACTGAAAATCATATCATTTAGAAGAACTATGATATTTTCTTCCCATCTTTTAGAATAACTGGCCCTCGTAAGAAAAAATAACTACTTTTGTGTAACAAAACACAAATGACATTCTAGTGCAACAATGAATGTGTAACATTCATAGAAAAATGATAAAACTTAGGAAAATGCAATAAGCCTATGAAATGATAATAAATCCTTAAACGGTCTTTTGAAAACTTTCAATTATGCCTTTCAAACTGACTCTACCCCTATTTCAGAAAAATTTAGTGCACAATGCATGGGAGTGAGATCATAAAAACTGTGTGCATTAACGGGTAATTCAGTGCATAAATATAACATAAACAACATGAAACATAAGAATGACATTGTTTTACAAGCTCATAAAACTAATCAGAGCTAAAAAGCTTGAGCACTGACGCAATAAAAAAACTTATTTTAGAATTTTCTCTGTGATATCTACAAAACATGAAGAAAAAGATCTTTAGTACCATTGAACCATGTGCCATGTAATAGTCTGAAAGCTCGATTACAATCTGATAAGGAGGAGAAACGAGTAAACACAATGCCGTCCTTGGAATCTTTTTCCATATAAAAATGTATAGGTCGGATTGGAGCTATCCTCTGCAGCAAAGCATCTTTCAAATCTTGACATTTAGTCTCATAACCACTGAAAATTTTCCTAATTACTTGCAAGAAGAGGCTGAAAGAAACTTCCGTAACTGTGAATATTGTTATTAAGAAGAACGATATTCCAATTATCTGATTACATATCATTTTATGCAGCATTTCATACGATTTATTATACCAGCAATAAAATTTGTATTTATTAAATCAACTTACTCGCCAGAAGAAGACAATCCTCGAAGTTTTAAGCAGTGTGATGAAGCACGATCCGACAAATTAAGTCGCGCAGTTTCCCGAAATGCTAGAACGAACAGTATTGAATATTACTTTTTCTTCCGTGCTATATTTTCTAGGATTAGTTGATATAATTAACAGTGAAACAATCAGTTATTATATAATAAGAAGTGGAAAAACATATTCAACTTTAATGATTAGTTACAGGAGAATTTTGGGCAAAAAAAATGCTCACGATAACCGTAATTTCAAAAGTGATTACACTTTTTAATGAGAACCTTTAAAAAAACAACTTCACTAGTACAGAAACATACAGAGCATTTTGGTCAAAGAAATATGAAAGAGCTATAACAAGGAATTTATCTGTACAAACAAAGTACTTAGAAACTTTCCCTTAATAAACAGATAATTAATTATACATACCATTGCCTTGCCAACCACTACTTTTTCCAGATATCCATCGCCATACTGAACACTCTACTCCATTGATAATTCTAGTTTCCGTGCTCACTCGCGATTCATTCAAATTGATGAACTTCACTGCCTTTTGCCATCGACGCCACTCTGGGCTATCACGCATTCTAAAAAAAATAGATATGTGCATAAGGACAGCAATATTTAAGTTCAGTCTCATATAACATGTTTCAACGAAATAAAACCTTTGCGATGGTGGGAGGAGCATATCTCGCACATGCGGCTCAGCAACATAAATTTCACCTTTTTCGTCTGCACTTCGAATAATATCTACAAAACTAAATAGATTAAAAATCTCTAGTTCACTGTTTAGAACATGCTAAAAGACAAAACAATAAATTCAGGTGGATTAAGCAACACAATGCATTTCGTTGACAACTTTTATCTTCCAAATAATCTTCATTTTTTTCAACGGCCAATAAAAACCAGATTTCGTTACTAACAAGACTCACAAAAGTACATAAGGCATCATCTACTAAAAGAAATTGCTGCAAAATTTACCGATGATTTTTTCAATGAGTTCAAACGTTAGCTGTTTATCTCTTGCGCTTTTTTTCATCTGATTTTGCTGCAATACATAGACACCAACTAGTACTCCGCATACTGCAATAATTTTTAACTCATTGATTCTCTTATAACTGAGCCATAAATATCATTTTAAAAAATACAAAAGAAAGACAAGATAATCCTTTAAGTTTCTGATGTTTTTTAATTATCAAAGCACAATTAAACCATCAATCGAGCAAAGTTAGCAGTTTCAATAGAATTCTTGACAGCAAGGTATTTATTATAATCTCGTCCCTACGATTCACAATTTAAATGAGAATGAAACAATCAAATTCTTTAACGAAAGAATTTTGCTTTATTTAAATATTTTTTCGACTACAAAAAACTGCAAATACTTTTAAAAAATATGGAGTAGTTAAATACAACCCGTAAACCCAAGTCACTGGAAATTAATGAAGCAAAACACATACTTATTGCCAAAGTGATTATCGGAAGGATGGCATACGTATAGAAGAATAACACGGTATCTTTAGCAGCAGCTATAATAAATTAAAAATTTTCTTTTTACTAGCTGAACAGAGTGTAGATAAATAACACTCCGAAAAAGGTGATAACTATAGCTATTATAAACGTGCATTTTTTTTAACACTATTCGCTCATTAATTGCATTATCAAGTAATAAAATTATCAAGTTCAAAATAAATTTCAAAAAAAAATACCATAAGCATTACGACTACTTTGGATCAACAGAGCTGAATTTACAGTTGCCATATAAGCAATAAACAAAAAGCTAAACAACGATAAGAATGAATATAGCAGCACACGTGATGTGTCTAGACCAAACATAGTATTCCGTGCTGAAGTAGGTCTCTGAAATGAATTTTAAATTCCTAAAATGAATGAAAATTTTTGCTTAAACAATTTACGGCTTTCAATTTCATGAATCTAAGACTGACATTACTGGAGATCTTGTAAGTGAAGACTAATTTTAGATTATATTTACGGGAACCTAATCGTATGAAGAGTTTTCATGAACATCTGATAAATAAGGACGACGGCATGTAATTAGTATAAAAAAAGCCATGCGTAGAAAATGCTGCGTAAAAAACGAAGGGAAACTTTTCGAATATAAAAATCAGTCAGTTATTTAAGGGATCAATGACAAAAATGATTTCACTGATTAAACAAACCTTAAATGAAAATTTATGAGGGAGAATAAGCGATATCCACATCTTGATATACTTATTTAATGCTAGTAATATAGGAAATGAATTTTGCGAATATGGAACTCGTGTTTTTGTTGTGCTGATTGTACGTGAGCTTTCCATGTGATCATCACTATCACCATCATGCACATTGATTAATCCAGGTTTTGAAACATTTATTTCTTCCCGACTATCATTAAAATTAATACGTTTAACTTGATTTTGATCTGAAAATTATATAAATCAATTCTCTACAACAAAAATCAATGTTCCTAATAGATTAGAGAGTGATTATAGCAATGCAAATGCTGCAATCATTTTATTATTACTTCCTCCACAAACATCCACCTGAAAAGTACGTTAATATAATGCATTGCTAAAAAACATACATTCAAAATTCGATGGATAAGTATCTCTTGAAATATCATTGTATTCATTTAGAGACGTGCGAGATCGAGAAGAAGAAGGAGGAGACGTATACGACGGTGACCTACGGCGTATCATAGTTGGACGTGGTGGAGTTGGAACCTTCCATTTGGGAGGAGACTAAACCAATGAAATGCAGTATTATATGAACTATGTAAGTAGAAATTACAAAGCTTTACTTCAAAAAATTGAAGATTACATGAGAATTACATACATCTATGACATTTGTAACCGAATGATTCAATGATTCAGACGATTCTTCTCTTTCTAACTTTTTCTTTAACTGCTTTTCATAAAAAATTCGAGTCGTCGAAGTTATAGGACCCACAACAGCACCAAGTTCAAACAATTTGGATCGTAGTTCATTATTTGATAGCAAATGAACTGTGTCAGATATCTGAAGAATATCCCCATTAAGTTAGCAAGTATGATAAAATATAAATGATGGGGAAAAAATAATCCAAAACTAACATCATTATTTTTTCTGCTTGAACTTCTTCCACTTTTTCGTGATGTTACAGCATTTTTAGCTGGTGTACTAGCGTTTCTCGTTGAAACAGGCATATCCAAAGAGCTATTGATTAGAACAGATTCAGAAGTGAGATTTGTTGAGAGTCAAAGCAATTTCTGTACAACGAAATTCCACATTTTATTCACGAAAACAAAATAAAGCAGAAAGACGAAATATGAAAAGGTTAATTTGCATTTTGTTCCCTATGAAAAGAATTAATCTCGCAATGCAAACGTGATATATTCAAGGAAATCAACAAAGTGGCGCTTATAGCAGCATAAAAGGTAATGCATCGTTTGAATACAAAAAGTGATTAGTCAGACACCTTCTGCAATCCTTTTGTCTTGTTTACGAGTAAAAAAAGTGATGATAAACATTCCATTTACATAAGTTTCTGTAGTTTATAAAATCAACAGAAACAATAATGCACCAGTTTTACTACATGCACAGTAATAACAAATAAAAGATCACAAAATCTGACACAGAAAAATAATAGATACTAACGCCTTGTAATGAATGCATATTCGTCTTCTAACATCGACTATGAATGATGAACATTTTTCAAGGAATTAACGCAAAAAAAGGAAAGGAAGTGTGAATTATTAGAGGTAGCAGAGAGCAAGAGAGTTAGCGAAACAATGCGTAATTTTTGTAAAAACTGAAGGTAGAGACGTAGTCAGTTTTATTCATCTCATTTTTATGGGTGTCAATGAGTAAATTTATTTTCTGTAGTTTTTAGAGTTCTGCAAGCTTGTCTTGTTCTGATATTATTTCTTGAAGATTATATTTGGAAAGGTGCATGATAAGTTTAAGGAATTCCGAGTATGTGTTGGATAACTGATTGTTTAGATATTTTCTAATATAACCCCCATACTTCACTTAATGATGCCTTTTTTCTGATTTGCAGTTGCAAGAGTTTTTAACGTATAGTTAAAATTGGAAGTTTAAGATTTATGCTACAAATATGCGATTGACTTTCTTAACTGGTGTTGGCTACAGCTTATTATGTCTACTTTTTGCGGGAACGTGGTTACTAATTGCACTATCATTTTCGAACACATTCTAGGAGGGAAAAAAGCACAATATACCATCAATGAAATAACAAATGGAAGTAGCAGAAACGCTGAAGGAAGGTTTTTATGCTGTAGAGCTGAACAAGACTGTATGGATCGTTCCCAGCTATTACCAAAATTTAACACCAGTCGGTACCGGTGCTTATGGAACTGTCTGGTTAGTTTACGACTTTTTGGTGATTTTTTCTTGTTCACATAACGAAATGTTGGAAATTGAGCATCATTAGCACAGCTTGAGCAGTAATTTTTTGTATTTAGTGACAAACAGCAATGATTTGTATTCATGAATTAGTACTTTCTTATGAAGCATGTGGTTAAACATTTGGAGGTATACATATGCACTTTTGACGAATTGCAAAATATTGTCCAGCATCAAAATATTCTGCTAATGAGCAGTATGCAGGAACTCGGGGAACAAATGTGGGGTTTTGAACCTATTGCAATTAATGGACTCATAGTGTACTCAAAAATTGTAAAATTCTATTTTTTGTTAAAACAGTGTATAATGCAATGGAACAAAATTGTTGTGCTATTTGAATGAAGTAGTAATTGTTTCAGTGCTGCAGAATGTCGTTTAACTGGAGAAAAAGTAGCGATAAAAAAATTTTCTCGACCGTTTCAGAGTGCTATTCACGCCAAACGAACACACCGAGAATTGAAATTACTGAGATCAATGAATCATGAAAACATCATCGATATGCTCGATGTATTCACACCCGACATTAACGCTGCTTCATTAGGAGACGTGTTGGGGTTTTTTTGTAATTATGCTTGCAATTCTATAGGATTCTTTTATGTTTCTTATTTGTAATTTGTATTGTGATGTCTGTTGCTATATGAAAATTTAAATCTGTATATTTTAATGATGGATTTCACGCAAGTAACAAAAATTAGTGTATTTCATAATTGAAGGCAGTTTTAACTAATTTGTGTCATGCACTATCGATTGCATCGTTCATTATCGATTTTCGAACGAAACGTAGAATTTTGGTTTAGGTATTTTGTTTCGATGTTAATGGGAGCAGATCTCTCTAACATACTGAAAATTCAACGCTTGAGCGATGAGCACATTCAATTTCTTGTATATCAAATACTTCGTGGCTTGAAAGTATATATATTTAATTCTTCACAAATGTACATTTTTTCGAGCTTTTAGCTATTTAGCAATATAACTCATTTCTACTTTACTTCTGTTTTGTACATTTGTGTTTCAATTTTTCAGTATATTCACTCGGCTGGTCTCATTCATCGCGACTTAAAACCATCAAATATTGCAGTTAATGAAGACTGTGAATTAAAGGTTGGTCAGTTTCATAATGTCGAATATTCATAATAACAATAAATTAGAAATACAGGTCTGAATTGCATTACAGATACTTGATTTCGGCTTAGCTAGACAAACAGATAACGAAATGACAGGTTATGTTGCTACACGTTGGTATCGTGCTCCTGAAATCATGCTTAATTGGATGCATTATACGCAGACAGGTAATAATTTTTTGCATTGTACTCCGTTGATTCTTTTAGAATGATTTGTGTTTAATTATTAGACCGTTTTTGGAAAAAAATTGTTAGCTTTTTGGTGATCTATTTGCTCACTTATTATCCTTGCGACTTTTTTATTTTAGTGGATATTTGGTCAGTTGGATGCATTATGGCGGAATTGATTACTGGAAGAACTTTATTTCCAGGAGCAGATCGTAAATATTTATTACGTCAAATTCAAATATTTTGCTTTATATCGTCCTTAGTGTTTAGTTTTTGAATATTTTGTGTATTCAGATATCGATCAACTGACACGTATAATGAATGTGGTAGGAACACCAAATGAAGAATTTTTGTCGAAAATACAATCGGATGAAGCTCGTAACTACATTCGTAATCTCCCGAAAACTCCCAGAAAAGATTTCAAGAAATTGTTTCCCAGTGCATCAGCTGATGCCATTGATTTGCTGGAGAGAACTCTAAATCTTGATCCTGACTACCGGTTAATCATAATTGTGAATTTGCACTTACCTATTCTAGAAGATCGCATTAATATATTGCAATCATTATACTTTTTGTTGATTAGTAACCAAAAAATTTTTCAATATTAATTTGTAGACCCACTGCTAGTGAAGCAATGAAGCATCCTTATTTGAAACAGTATCACGATCCATCTGATGAACCTATATCGCCACCACTCGATATAGATTTCAATGGTCCACTTTTGATCTTTTTTTGTTCATTTTTGAAGTGTAAAGTTACGAAAAATTTTTCTCGAAGAGAACTTCTGATTGGCTTATTTCATTATGTCTTATTCCTACGAGTTCTAATCAAATATAATCGGTAACGAGTTATGTTGTTTCATTTTCAGCTTTTGGGCATCTGTTATAATACTTAACTCTTTCGGTATTCAACTCAGGGTGACATAATTTTTTGTTACCTTAAGTAATAAAAAATTTTAATTTTACATAGTTGTATTGTTGTAAATGGGAAACCATTGATGATATTGAAAGTAGAAAACATTTATTGTGAGTCAAAATTTAGGAGATTTAACCATTGAACAATGGAAGGAATTAATTTGGAATGAAATTAACGATTTTGCGGAGAAAAGATCGGAGAGGCTTGTTGCTGGAAGTTCGAACAATGAGGAAACAAGGTGACAAGAGTAATTGAATTTGATTTCTTTTCAGCATAAAAAGAGCTCCATGTCCTATATGCTTTCTTTTTTTCGCTTCATCTATGGTTCCTAACTTTAAAAATAGCGTTATTATCGCTTAAGTTGTAAATGATAACGGATGCATCATCGACAGGTTTTGTATATTTCTAGGCCACTTGGTTAGTATTGGCTTAGCTGTGTAAATAATCATTCATTGTATTCAGTTCTCTTAACATCTAGTGAAAACTAATGTAGATTATTTGTTGTGAAGTGATTTTCCTGCATTATTATTTCATTGTTGTACGGAGTACAGTTCTTGTTCCCTTTCCCTATCTTTGGTACCCAAGAGATATGCGGTAAATAAAAATTTATATGTCTGTCGGACTTATAGATTATCTCTAAAAACATTAATAAGTGCTGCAGCTTTGGATCTATAATCCAGTTGTTATATACTTCTTTACCTTTCAGTTTTTGTAACGCTTTAGCACTTACCTCTTCCTTTCCTATCACAGTTTTCATTGACTTCATTTGATCCATGTGAAATACATCCGAGTGATAAGACGGAAGTGCTGTTAGACATGAATCTGATTCATTGATTTTAATAGGTTTTACATAATTCTTGTACAAATTATTATTAGTTACGAGTAGTTAAACCTTTTACTGACATTATCTTGCTATCAGTCATTAAGACTTTTTTTTCGCACCAGTGGGATGTTTTCACTTGATTCTGAGCTTAGCAAGTAATATAGCAAAGTTTTGCTGCTTAATCTATTTTCATGCTTGGGAAACATTGTTTTTATATGCATTTCAGAGCACAAATCTAACCTGGATCGTACTTCTTGATTTCGCATCTTTTGAAATATGTACTTTATAGTAATGTGTGGTCATTTATAAACGCTCATTGTAATGTCGTGTTTTTGTTTATAAATAAAGGATTTCGTGATTCTCTTTGTATCTTTAGACAGCGTTGGGAATTCGATCTTGCTGCTTGAGGATAAAAGAATTGTAGCAAGAAGAGGTATTGTCGATGTGATAGAAGTAATTGTGTGTTGTTGAGTGCTTCGGAATATATGTAAGGGAGATCTAGCAACTAATTAGTAGCAGCTCATTGACAGGTGTCAAAAGGTGAGGAGAATGGGTGCGGGGAGCTCATTCGCCTTCATAAATTCTTGTTTATTGATACATGAAGGAGAAATTATGAGATGTACTGCACAGCAAGTTTGCTCTCACCGTTATGAAAAGGGAGTGATGATAAGTAGAGAGCATATGGAGCAATAGGTAATGTGTGGAAAATGTTGCATACAGAGGAGGGAGATGGAGAAGCTGTTTCGTTCGTTAATTATTACTAGTAAAACGTTACGAAAGGATATGAGTGGTCGAGAAGTTCGCGAACTTGCCACTCTTTCTTACATCAATTCACTTTCATCCCAACTTCTTACACTTTAATTCTCGTTGTTTTTTGCTCAACCAAAACTGCTCATCCATTTTTAATTAATTATCGATAGCATTACTTTGATCGCTACTTTTGCATATTTTGTGAGATTTTCTTCTAAATTTTTAACATTGCAAAAAGATGACGGCTTGGTATTTGCTGTAACCTTAACTTTTCTATCATCTCTAGCTTTTATGAAATCACAGTAGTTCATTGACATTTGTTGTTGAAGCAGAAATCATGACCCTCCTATTAATTTGTTCATGCTTCGCAATTGTGCTTCTTATTAACAATGCATGGTAAGTTTAAGACCCCAAACAGAAATTACAGTGAAGGAAGTGAGACTTCTTAATCAGCACAATAAAACTGAAGCACTGATTTGAATTATATTAATGCAACAAATACATGATTGTTGCATGAAAATAAAACAAAAAGTTGTTCACTGTTTGGATACGGATTTCTGTGACCTGTTTTTTCGAAATTTTTGCTCTGGTAATGAAAGCTCGAATTTGCTACTCTAATTCATGATCGTACGAATTTTTTTGATCATGATCTTCGGAAAAAAAAACACAAAACCTAATTTTGTCCAGATATGAGAAGACTTTTTCTTTATCGAAAATTGTTAAATTCAAAAGTTTGCTTCAAAAAATTATTAATTTTGGTCAATTTTCTTTATTAGAGCTAGCTTGAACTTGTTCTGACAATTAAACGTTGTGTGAATTATTTTCAGAGCAATTTTGTGTAGTAATTCAACACATTGGTTAATATCCTCATGATAAAAGCAAAGTGTGGCATCCAGTGATAAAGGACTCTTGTGTTATCAGCTTTCTCAAGTCACAAAATTTTTACCTATCGTCAACGAGACCATTTAAAGGTAGAAATGAACAATACAAATGACATATCAACGTGAAACGAGTCGTGATGATAAATATCATTGTACTATGCAGGATTTTTGCAATAATATTAACATATTTATTCACTCTAACGTCTGTGATGACAGCTATTATTGCCTTGTGCACACCACAATGGCAAACAGTAACAATTACAGAATTTCATACCGAACATCAACATGGCTTATGGATGGATTGTATTGTCGGCAAGAAACACGTACAAGGTTAATTTGCGCAAATTCCCTCCTGAAATTTTACTGTTTGAAGTTATTCAGTGCTATAATTAATAGAATTTAAAAAAGAGAAACGGTGCACTCTTCTTCTTTTTTCAGTATCTTTCAACTCTGTCTAAAATATTTTATATCTATTATTTCTGACTAATTTAAATATTAATGACGCCTGTGAGAAGTGCTTAACGGTTATTTTTAACTCAGTCATTGAAATTATTGAAAAAAATGGAAAATATTGAAACGATTGAAATAAAAGATGTATTTAGTGACAGTAAATCAAAATTATTGTTAGTTCTGCTGTTTTTGTATGGTATTGATGCTTATGTTTGCCATAATGTCTGAGCTAGTTTTTTTTATCATTTTAGAAATTCATCTTCCAGGCACATCTGAAAGAAGTCTTCATTGCTCATACAAATTTGAAAATGCTCAAAAAAATGGTATAAATAATGATGAAGATGGTGAAGAGCAGCACAGATTTCATAGTACGCACTACAAGTTGATTAATATTTTTTCTCTAGAAAATTTTGTCTAATTTTTACAGAGTTTCAGTTAATAAGTATTTTATCTCGAATTAAAATAAAAAGTGTCTAAAAAATTTTTTAAGCGCAAATTTTAACATGAATTTTAACATTACGTGAAATCTCCAAATATTTGCAAAATATTTACGGTATTTACGAGTTTGAAATGAATGAAAAGAAGCACTAAACTCATTGAATAGATTAGTAGGAATGAGAATTATAAGTGATTTTTAAGTCTAACGAGCGGACATTAATATGCAGTGAGAAAGTTAATCAGTTCATGTGGAGTGAGTGAAAGCAGAAGGTACATATTAATTAATTTGCTTGCAGGAAATGCTAGCTTAAGGAATACATTCTGTAGGGTTTTAAATCATGATCGAGCAGATCAAAAGTAGATCAAAAATTTGAAAAATAAGTATAGAAATTTGACGGGCTCAATTATGAACTTGCAGATTGGCATAAAGCTGTGTTATGCTTGATGCTCCTTGCGCTGCTTACAGCGTTTGTAGTCTGCTGCTTTTTAATGTGTGCCTTATACTTTCGTACTGCAGCAATTGTTTCATGTACATTACTGCTAATCGCAAGTAAGTATTTTTTTAGACATTATTTCTATGTGACCACGTTAGCATAAACATTATCTTAAATGCCGTAATTTTTCCAAAAATTAAAAAGATAAAATTTCACCACAAAAATAAGCCTTTAAATAATAGAGTGAGAACTCGTAAATATGTTTGTAATCATAAAAATTATAGAAAGAATGTAAGCACTTGAAAAACATTCAAAATTTGTCAAGGTCATGGTGAAACACGTATGTATTATCCTGAAGCTTATTTTGTAGTTCTTTTACAGACCTTCATTTGCACAATTTTTATTTCAATAATTCCTATTACAACATACTTTTGTTTCAGCAATTCTTTCAAGTGTTGGGGTCAGTACTTTCTTTATTCATTCTCACAAAGCTGAAATTCGATTTGTACAAGGTATCACTCGAACATACGAGGTTTGTTTTTATTTTTCGAAGAGCCAGTGGTCAAGCAGATAAAACTGTTAGATTTCGTGCATCAATGATTTAATGCTACAAATAGATGATTAATTGACCATATCAATAATTTTTTTGTGGGTTCAAAACAGTTTTTTGTCAAATTACAGCAGCGATGTGGCTATTCCTTCTATTTAGCACTTTCATCCTGTATCACCTTTCTACTTGCATTCCTTTGTTCCCTATTTTGTTCCGTAACGATACTTCTACATGAACGGAATCAACGTTCGCCTCCAAAAAGATTCACCATGATCAACAGTTCTGTATAGTAAATGATAAAAAGTGCGAGCTCTTAGATTTATAGCTGCTTAACTTCATTATCTACGACTATACTTTCAACAAGCGTAATCCTCATCAACTGGATAAAAATATGGTTTATGCAGTTAATTTTAATTTATAAAATTATTGGATCCGCTCCTTAAACTAGTATTTAATCTTAAAAAATATTCTTATTACACAATTTAGAGTTCATGCATTACTATCAAAATATTTGTTTCACTAAACAAACATTCTCAAATTGCTCAACTTGTATCAAAAACTGTGTTGAATGTGTGCCTTATACTTTCGTACTGTTCTAATTTCCTTCGTAACTTGACCAATTTACAGCTGAGAGCTAAAAAATTGTTACAGGTTTATTTCACTGCAGCTAAAAATTGCCCAGTGTCAGTCTAACTTGAAACTGAATCGCAAAAGTTAATGTTTCATCACTACTTTTTTACACTATTCAATCTGTATAATTTGTTATATAATGAAATCCAGTTGTTGAACTGTACATCATTCGTAACACAAATTATTGGTTTGGTGCAGAGTAAAATTAAAAGTCGTAAACGTTGCTTACATATCAATAACTGTTCATATGAATGAACTACCAATATAAATAAATGATTTAAAGTGTATACTTATATATACAAGTATTTACTCGGCCCTACCGAATTGCCGAGAGTGAGCTGTCAGCTCGTCGCTTGCATTAGAAAGCAATAGACGATCAACGGGACAAACGGAGCCTGGAATCATAAATGGAAATAAGTGGAAAATAGATGAGGTAGTTGAAGAAAGTCCCGTGAGGGACATTGGGAACCACTCCATCAGTGTACCAGAACTGGAAGAACTAAATACCGAATGAGCACACTATTACTTCTTATACCATTCATTCTGTGTAACTTGTTATATAATAAGTCCAGTTGTTACGCATCATTCGTAACACAAATTTTCTAATCGCATCTGTCTTTGCATTGTTTTCATTTCTGTTCCAGATGCGGACCTTTTCCCTTTACCCTTCATCTTATGTTTCTTGAAAAGAACTCAGAGTCAACCTCTCAGTACCTCGGCAAAGCAGAAAATTTGTATACATAAAAACAAAAACTGCATAGCGCACAAACTTGGAATTCGGAATAATTACTCACTGGTAGTGAGACGGAAATATTGCACTAATAGGGCCATCATTTTTATGTGACGATTTTAGCCACGCATACTTAGCAATGCACTGCAAGTTTTCGACAGATACTGATCGTGTAACTCTGGAAAGTGGTTGGAATTTCCTCTTCTTAAGTGTAATGATGGTTCCTTACGTCATATGCAAAAAGTTTTGGAATTGCTTCTAACTTCACAGTATTGTTTACCATGCTAATTTTTTCAGGTCACTCACAATGTGGTCTATTCTTTGGTTATCGCTGCTAATACCATGTCTTTTATGTGCTAAACAAGAGGAATCTTGTGAAGGTTCGTATTAATAGCAGTAAAATAGGTGTAATCTATAAATGATTACAATTCCCTCGTTAAACAAATTATTTGGCTGATGTTTTTTAAGGGGATGATATCGTCGCGCTAAAGTGAATATCTCGCATCTGCAAACTTGGCTGTGGATAATTTTCTGTTAAAAAAATAAAGAATATTAACGTGCTGGAAAGTTGTTAATGTGAGGCGTTACTCGTCTCTTATTGCTATTAGATAGTAAAAATTTCAAATTGATTGCTGACGAGTAATTTAATTGCAGTATGTGAGAAAGTTCTGGGAGATATAATGAATAATATGCCTGGGAATGATCGAAGCGATGCGAAGAAGGTGGACAAAGCGGTGAGGCAACATTGCAGTGGAACGAGGGGAAAAGAGAATAAATTGGTAATTATGTGTTTTCTTACTTTTTTCGTAGGACATTTCATTGAGAGCATGCTTCGAAATTAATATCATTATTTTCCACATAATTTTAGTCATTAGTGTGCTCTAGTTGCTGTTAAATTTCCACTCAAAAAAGGATTAACTAAGACAAATGGACCGACGAGAAGTAGTTTTGGATTAATTTTTATTATACTATTTGTTAACTAAAAAACATTTTGAAAAGAACCGTTATTCACGTTCAGTGTATAATGTTATCAAACTTCTAAGTTTAAAGCTTTTTGCAGTGTTTTTATATTGGTGCTTTACCGGAATCCGCAACCTCTATAATGAATGATGTGGTGAAACCGCTGTCATGGTCTATGCCTGTTCGAAAAGTTTGTGACAAACTGAAGTCGATGGATTCACAGATTTGTGAATTGAAATATGGTCACTTTTTTCTTTAATTATTTGTAAAGTGATATATTCGTTTTCTCATAAAATTTTGTGCCTAAGAATTTTTTTCATATCATGAAAAGGAAAGTGAAAGCAAATTTATTGTAAAGGCCAGATGATGCTTATATTGTTCAAATTGATCTGCAGTGTATTCCTAAGAATGCTTTGATTTTTGTCACCAAAGATGTAGTTTTGACTTTTCAGAAAAAAGTATTGATTGGGCTACTGTAGATCTAAAGAAATTGAAAGTAAAAGAGTTGAAAAGAATTCTTGAAGATTGGGGCGAGGTATGTCCAATTTGAAATATCTTTTTCAATAAGTATTGTTTAATTGAAGCTCATTACATTTTTAAATATATGTGAAATTCAAGTATAAATTTAGTTATTAACTAGTCATCGGCAAAAAAATATAATGACTACTGTGTTTCCTAAAATTTTAGATGTGCAAGGGCTGCTCAGAGAAATCAGACTATGTCTCGAGAATCATAGAGCTAAAGCCAAAATATGTTAAGAAGGAACTGTGATATTGAGTTCAGTATTCACTTAATTTATCCATTGAAGTTGTTTTTGTTGTCTCACAATAATAATAAAGCTAATCATTACTTGCGTGTATTTATTGGTTTTCTTATCATTCCAATATGTTCAATACTTTCATTTACTTACAGTGATTTGTATCATTTCGAAATGTGGGAGAAGCATTCATCAGTATTTGCACGTAGATTTGCAGCTGATTCAGTTTAAGCAGTGAATAGTGTAGAATGAAAGGAGTACTTGAAACTGTTTGATGTAAACTGGTAAAGCTAGATAATTTTCATGTAGGAATTCGGCTGGATTAGCGGGATTTAGTTTCTGCACAGAGAGTATTGGACAATGGTGGATTTGTTTAAAATGCAAGAAATATTTAAAAACAAAGCGGTATGGTTGTAGGACAACTGCTCTACTGTCTATCGGGAAATGGCAGGGGCCCTCCCATATCGTATCATAAAAGAAACACAACGTCTAATGGCAGATCCAGTTGCTGGAATTTCGGCGGTACCTGATGACAGTAATGCTCGTTACTTCCATGTGGTAATCGCTGGACCTGAAGGTAGTCCATTTGAGGGTGGAGTGTTTAAATTAGAACTCTTTCTGCCTGAAGAATACCCCATGGCGGCCCCAAAAGTGCGGTTCATGACGAGAATATATCATCCAAACATCGACAAACTGGGACGAATTTGTCTGGATATTCTGAAGGGTCAGATCTAAATTTTGTCTACTCGTTCGATTATGGCTGTAGAGAGTCAATTATTTTACGTATAATTACTGATAGATTAGTAAAAATTGCTTATAACACAGGAAGAAGTGAGATTACTTTGAATCTTCATTAAGAAGAGATTGTAACAATGATTGATGCTAAATGCTGAGGATGGAATTGCGCATAGACAATTTTCAGTTTGCTCAAGTTGTAAGTCTATTGGTCTAGAATTAGCTGTAAGTTTAGTTGTTCGTTGGGGTTGATATCGTTAAACTGGGGTGTCTAGCCTTAACTAGTGTACTGTTTAGCTGTTTAGTTTGATCGCTAGTTGTAGATCACTCCTAAAAATGTTAATGAATCTTGGCTTAGGTACACTTGATTCAGAAAAAAAGGGGCGTTCATATATTTTTATCTTTGACATATTATATTGTGTGAAAGTTTTTGTTAAGAACAATTTATTTGCTTGCTTATTCACATGTTAGGTAATCTTCAGATAAGTGGTCTCCAGCCCTTCAAATTCGTACAGTGCTTTTATCGATACAAGCTTTGCTTTCTGCACCAAATCCGGACGACCCTTTAGCAACAGATGTTGCTGAGCAGTGGAAAAATAATGAAAGTGTTGCAATTCGTACGGCACAAGAATGGACTCGTATTTATGCCGACGGAAAGTAGTTTAGCATTTTGAGCGGGATGTTCGGCAATTTACCTCGCAATTATTGGGTGACATTCCTCCTATTTACCAAGGAAGGTATTTTTTGGTAGAAGTGTAACTTTCAGAAGTTTCAGTGGGATAATGTTAATAAGTAAGTAGTTGGACTTTGAGCACAAAAAAGGCAACAGATCCTTTCTTCATCTTTCAAATTATAAATTCAGTAACATGGGATAAAGTTTTATATTTGCTTTCATTTATTCAGACTATTCTTAGCTTTAGTCAAACGATAAAACATGATCAGTTTGTGTTAAGTTTTCTGCGTATGGTTTGTTTCATATGTCGATTTACATTTTTTTGAAGAAGTGTGAGAGAGAAATCTACTGAAAATTTGTAATGATGCATCACTGGAACCTGAAAACCAGTAGACAAATTGTGAGATCTTGAAGAAATAGTCTAGAAATTTTATTAATAATAGCAATTTCCACTGCAATGGTGTTATAGAATTTAGTTTTAAGTATTGCAGAATTTAAAAAAATGAACTTTTGGTTTTTTGAGTTCTTTTCTGAACGAATAAATGTGGTATGTTATTCATGAATAAATATTTAAAACATCATATATTTAGTTTTGTAAGCGAGAGCATTTATCAAGAAGAAGTGATTTTTTCAGTGCATCTCGTTGTAAATTGTTATATAATTGTTAAGAATATATTGAAGTTGTTATTATTCATCATCGATGTTTCTTTGGTTTATCGTTTGTTATTTGTGTCACGAGGTGGCATTTTAAATTATGAATATCGTCAATCCTCATTTATGAATGATATTTTAAAAGTTGCTACAGTTTGTTACTAACGTTTTCTGCGACGCTTGTTTTGAAATGTGGTCTAACTGGAAAAGAGCCAGGCCAGTAATAACAATCTATTTATTTGTGTCGGCAAGTCATATTATCATATCTGTTGGACATCTTAGTGTATGACATTTTTATTTTTTGAGCTCGTTTTTTATATTCTTGCAAGGAATGTCGTTGGTACTCATTGAGTTCACCTACTTCCATTTCTGGAAATGCTGTAGTTGGAACTTTTTGAGCTTCACTCATTTCTATATCTATAACTTTTACCGTTTCAATAAAACTGTCTTTTTTGTTACTGCATTGCAGAAATTTGAAGGTTTGCATTACCTGCTTATACCTTATTTCCTGTTCTTGAATAAATATGAAAGCTCGTCTTAAGAAGTTATGTCATAATCCTTTAGCTTGGAATTTTTGTGTATTATTTTTTTTTGGTGGATTTAAAAAGAGAAGTCGTTACCAAGTTAATTTTTGTTTGATTTGAAAATTGGTCGGTTTTTTTCAGTGACATGACTCTTCAGTGGTTTGCTGTAGCGCTGGTTTTATATTTGGAAATAGCAGTTGTACTGTTGTTACTTCTTCCATGGATACGTCCAACGCTGTATGTGAAACCTAGATTTTATGTCATCAGGAATTATCAGTGTTTTCTTACACAACTGTTTCATTTACTTATCAAGAAGTTGATTAGTTCTGTACATAAATTTTTACAGGTGGAGTAAGATCTTCAGAAGTCGCATCGTAACAACTTTAGGAAAACATGGGAATGTTTATTTCATTTCCACTCTTTGTATTCTTCTACTCCTTTTCGCAGGTTAGTTTTTGCCTCTATGAGATTTCTTGTTATTTAATGCTCGTTATTATTTATTACATAATTAGGACATTTATTACTGCAGATGCTATTCGGGAAGTGCGGAAGTATTCAGGTGAAGCAGCTTTGGAAGCATCAATCCGTCATACGGCTGATTCAGAAAATGTTATACACTTGCGTCTTTTCCGTGCGCAAAGAAATCTCTACGTATCAGGATTTGCTCTTTTACTTTTCCTGTTGGTTTGCATATTACCTATTCTTTTTTGGTATAATGACAAAAGTAGTAATTTTGAGTACAAATCTAAATTGAAATAAGGTAGTATTACATCAGTTTTCCCTCATTTATATGGAGTTGAGCAAAGAACAGGTAACTTCGTGACAAAGTTGTTTATTAAAATAAAACTTAATAATAAATTTATTTATAGTGTTATCAAACGAATAGCTGCTCTTCTTTCTCGTGGTGCACAACTTGAGGCTGCTGCCGAAGCTGCAATGAAACAAGCTAAAAATGCAGCAGAAACGGCCAAGTCATATATGGTAATAGTGTTATGTCTAACAATAAAACAAAAATTAACAAGCACTTTCTTTTGCTGAAGTTTTTATGAAAATAATCGTGTTGTATATACAGCATTACTACTATAATATCTTTCTGTTGGACTTCTTCAGCATTTTTTCGTGTCAAATTTTTGGGTGTCTTTAAAGCACTGCTATTCCCCTTGGAACCTTTATTTAGGTGCTCAGTGGTTTACTTGCAATTTATTAGAATTATCTGGTGTTTAGATTGGTGATGGCGAAGTAGAAAAAGAATTAAAAAGACAAATTGAAGAACTTGGCAAAGGTATGCAGTTTTTTACTTACTCCAAATGGAGATAAATGATAAGTTTACTTATTTTTTTGGAGTCATTTCGTTTATACCATAAACTGTTTTATTCGATTTCCATTTTGTTTTTACGACTCACTATTTTCACAGAGTTGAAATCAGCGCAAGTAGACAGAGATGCTATAAAGGAACAAACTAAGGGTCTTCAAAAAGAATATAATCGCGTTTGTGATTTGCTGGAACAAGCCGAAGTTTGTTATTTGTGAATATATACATATTTAAGAACTAGAGACGATTTTGTGATTTTTCTCAGTTGTGATTGCTGCTGCTTTTTTCGAAAGTATTTGAAGAACTCTGTTGATAAAAAGTGTGGTTTTCAGAAAGCGAGTGGAGACAAAAAAGATGACTAAAGGACGTGTATGGAAACATGCGCATAAGAATATCAGTACATTTGCTACATTCATTCGATATGTTGGCACTTGTAAGGAATGAATACTGCATTTCCAAATCTTTCTCATTGTGTGGAATGGTAATAAGTGTGAAAGCTCTTAAAATCTGTGCACTCTCTTGTATCATTGTCTCTTTTCTATTTTAATTTACCAATCTGTTTTCATGAATTACCGGAACTTGTATTTCAAACTGCATAGGTTACATCAGATGCAGAAGCCTGTAAGACTATACCCGTAACTTTATAGCAGCTGTAGGAAATAACTCTTCTTTGTGGCCAGTTATTCCCTCCAGTATATTCCAGGCACTACCTTCCGTTAATTACTAAACTTTATATTACCATAAATTGGTTCCCATCGGGTTGCTTACAAATCTTGGCTGACTGCTTTGAGAACTCGCTTACGCTAAAAATGATTTTTATTTCATAGTGTGCTGTAATATGTTCTATGTCAGCTCAACTCTCGATAAATCGAACCAGTTATGAATTAATGCTCCACCTGGTTATTTCTTTGTTGAGCCCCGATATATGTGAGCAACTACCATTTCAAGACCATATCTCACAAATATACAGCCATAAGTCGTCACCCCCTCCCCCCTAATAATTCGTAATACCACACACCGGAAGAATAGTAAAAGGAGAGATTAGTTCACAGCACGGGAGTTCAGTAGAAAAAGAATACATCGACGGGACTGTGAGATCATCGACTTTAGCAGTTCCAACACAACAGTTCCAACATTAGAAAGTTTATTTCACTTTAAAAGAAGTGCAATTAAAACATCCATCCTTATTTCAAAAAATGATACAGATGAATATTACATGGGATAGACTACAAGCCACATGATTGCTTTCAAATGATGCTTGCCATCTTTTTGGTTTCATACAATTCGTATATGAATTTGGTCTGAAAGTCCTGCGAATCACTTTTTCTAATTTAAATCCTAATTTACAGGGCCGGGAGTATGGAGAAACTAGCTGAAAGCAAACAGCGAGATTTGTAAAATGCAACAATCTTGCCACAGGAAGTAGAGCTCTTAGCTGAATATATCACCAGTTAAGTAGATGATGGGTTAATAATTTCAAAATGATCTAAAAGAGTAAGTGGATAGAGAGTGAACTAAAAAATGCTATATCTGATAATGAGTTTACTACGATAGGTAGAATGTAATAAATCCATAGTACAATCACTGGAAAACAATCGCTTCGACGTAGGGGAATTATTAATTTGTACAACGATTTGTGAGTGTTGTTATATAACAACGAACTACAATTCCATTCCAGGTGTTTCGTCTGCAAATAATTTATTACACTGTACATTCAGGAAAGGAAATACGTGACGTATTCTAAAACTAGACAAAAACTGACATTATCCACATTTTCATGTTAACATGCACAATAAAATATAAAGACTTCACTGTAACAAACCTTCTGAAAAATCGGATATAGTAGAGCTCGACTCGTCATCACTCGACGAACTTTCAGGATCATTGTCAACTTCCATTTTTTTACAATTTTTTAAAGCTTCCTCAGTAGCATATTTGACAATATATTCTGCAATTCTTTTGTATCCCCAATTCTTAATAGTTTTTAAAGGCCTGACCACTGCCAAAAATAGCAGATCTTATGTTTTGGCTAACATACTATTCTTATCCAGAGATATTTCACTATCTGCAATCTTACACCATCTAATATAAGGAATTGAATACAAACCCCGACACTTCTTTTTGAATTCTTCAGGCTTGTGCAGATACAGTGCTGCAGCATCACCATTCAACGGATCCGTTGGATTTGGATATGTTAACAGTTGGGGCAAAAACGACTCAAAAATGTTCGTAAGATCTATAATAAAATGGAATGAGTAACTCAACTCTTGCTTCAAAAGTAAAAGCGATCAACATCATCTTTTTTAAATAAAGCTAGTTAACTTTGATGTATAACAAACAGCGCATATGTATAGATTCACCGTATAAGGCACTCCACGCTTGGTTGATGACATCAAGACAAACAGTGCCTGATGCTTCGTCTATATTAGGATGATAAATGCGATTCATAAAACCAATTGAAGGCGATTTAAATGGGTACTTCTCCGGCAAATCAACACGAACACGCCATACTCCCCCTTCATAGGCAGCTATAAATATGTTAAATGAGAGGTGAGAATAAAAGGAAGCTTCTGTTATTTGCAATAATATTAGCCATATGAACAGACTTTAATTAGCAGCATTTTTAAGAGTAATAAGTGATTGTTTCAAGTTTATCTGCAAATGAACGCGCCATCACATATCTACATTTCAGCTCTCTTCAAACTAGTAATAATTTTGTTAAATAATGTCTTTTTAAAACTGTAACTATTAATTGATGCTAATAAAAATACAGTAAACACCTACTTCCTTTAGGGCCATAAAATTTCACAGCAAACTCATTTATACCCCCTGTTATTGTCACTTCATGCTTGCTTTCAATCCTGAAAGTCAGTACGGCTAAACTCAGACAATGATATCAAGTTTGCAATCAACAATTCATCGAAAACACAAACCCGGAAAGACTAGAAATGCCAAGCCGTTCTCACATTTCTAATATCAAAATGATAAGGGAAACTGATGGCAATTTTGTTACACTTTCGAGTTCTCTGCTAATCTGTTTATGGAATAATCAATATGAAAAGTACATGGAGAAAAGAACCCAGAGCAGCTATGTTATTGCAACCTACTTAGCTACCATGATGTCTGTAAGCACAATGGCAAATCCTTGCAATGCAATCATTGGTTACTCTTGTTTCGATAATAACAAAATATTATTATAGGGATCGAAGTTTCTACTCATCCACTTGATAAATTCATTTTCCTTATCAGATTCATTTATTTTTTATTCCTAGCCATCCTAGAATTGTGTAAGTTATTCATGTAGTTACACATTGTCCTGAGCCAATGATGAAAGGAGTACTAAGCACTGAAGAACTTAGGAAATCACCGAAAAAACTTCCAAGATAATATGGCAAACACAGCTTACAATTTAATTACATCTGTATCCATTCTTCTTTTACCAGCACCAGGTGACGACATTTTGGACTGACTTTTTTATTGGCCTGAATAAATCATGAATTAAACACGAAATAATATATGAGATATTTTAAACAAATGCAAGAGGTGCAACTGGAATAGACTTGTATGGTCAGTAATAAAAAAAGTTATACTGAAATACGATGCAACAGCATTGTGAAGCACTAATCCGTTTCCAAAAATAATATGCTTCTAATTTTAAAGAGAGCTTCTGATAATCAAAACATAGAGAAAGCAGAAGTCAATGAGGTTAGTAAAGAAAGCAAAGAGAACTTCTGCAAAAATTTTGAAAGGATAATATCTTAACTGCATAAGAACAGCGTACTTGACTTGAAGACTACAAGAATTAAGGAAACGCAATTTGTTAGCAGAATAGGATTGTCAAGCACTGTGAACTTACCAATTCTTCGCACACACGACAGCAGTAGGAGTTTTCTACTTCAAGAACAGCAGTCGAGTAGAGAAGCCTGAAATAACTAAAGACTGAAAAATTACTGATAGCAACACCACTGCCACAACCACCGTAATAAAGTCAATTTGAATCATCAAAAGTATTGATTGTATTGCATTGCTTATATATCTATGAACACTAAAGAATTTTTTTTAGCAAAGGATTACGGCAAGACCGCAAAAAGTGGTGCATCAACAATAAAGTAGCGAGTCCATTTGTGATGTTGCGTTAAAACCAAGTTTTGAGTAATTAACAACAAACATGTTTACATATTCGAACAATTAACATTTCAATCGATAGAGATTCCTATATCTAAAAATACTAAAATAGTATCCTTGAGCGTGACAGATCTCAATAAGAAGTAACTACTGCATAACTCAAACACTGTCCCATCTAATCAACTGAAACTCGATAATAAAGGGAGTTCTATCAAAAAATCACTTCAGTGCTTGAAGCATTAAACAAAATGTACGAATGTTAACTTTCTATTTAACAAAACAACTGCTTCTTGTTAGATGAAAAACTGTATCAAGCAGATCTTCTTTTTTAAAGGATATGAAAAAGTATCATAGCGACAAATTTGTAGAATTGGAAATGCCAAGTAGACAAGTGCAACATGCTGTACGCAATTCCTGGATAGCGATTATATTCCTGTGGATAACAGAAAAACTTGAAAAAAAGGACAAGACTACAAGGGAAAGCAACACCAAACGATGATTTGCAAACTGCATGACAACTAAAACCTTGAGTCGATCATGCAGATTGACGAACATCATCGACATTGCTAGAGACCCTCTGCTTTTCGGCATATTTTAACGCAGCATCAAAATAGGAGTGAAAATTTGTTGCTTTTAGTGACCAGACAACACAAGCAGATTACTTTCAACTACACAATTATGTCAGATAATACAGACCAGTTTGACGAGAGGAACATTACAATGTGAAACATTTCAAGGAATAAATTCACACTGCAAAGTACGAGAATCTCTTAACAAACGCAGCGTCGTCATATGAGCAGGCAGGCACAAAGAAACACTGAACGAGAGATTAGAGCAATTGTTGTCGTTTAGTACTTAACCAAACTAGTTGGGAGAGGAAACTGCAAAGTTTCACGCACTATCCACATAGTTTCGTGCAGCTGAACACGACAAACCCTTAAGCACAGTCAATAAACACCACCCACTCATGATGCATAGTAGTCACGTCAACTGGTGCGTCAACTTCAACTGATAATAAATAACGTGTCAATAAATGACCTGAAAAAGTGTGACAAAAATATGCATAATAGAAAGAAATTAGTTTTCTACGAACATTTCAATTTGCTTTCATCGAAGATAACCATAACTGCAGAATGGATAATGTACTTGTGGTAACATGTTTAAGTTTTCAGTAATGTTTGCTGTGGCATAAATCTTTTAAAGTCGATACTGGTAAAAGCCAATAAATGGAAAGAGTGTAAGTAATGTAAGAGAAACATGATACAGATTATAGCTTTACGTCATCCAACATAACTTTCTGTCGCAACTTGACCTCCGACTACTAATCGATGGGCACTTTGATGAGTGTATACAAAAATGGCAGCTGAACTCAAGCAGTACACTCTTGTCACTACTAAGTGCAATCGAAAATCTATATCAAAGTACAGATCAATACTTCCAGATTTACTTATTGATTGCTGATTGACATACAATTTGCAAGTGCAAAATGCAGGATGTGTATTACTACTATGAGCAATTGACGAAAACAAGGAAACGGCTGCCTGTCGACATCATGAGTGTACTACCACAACTTGATCAGCACAGCTGATTATTTAACATCATTGCATAATTCAGCGAAGACTCATAGTTTACGTACACGTAAATGTTGGCTGATCTAAATGCTCAACGAGCACTATGATTACACATACTTAGAATACAAGTATTAATAAAATTTCATCGTATTCAAAATTTTTGGATAATTGTGAACAAACTGAAAGCATATAAAATTCATTTTCCTGAAATGATGTACAAAGACTGGTGCGCAAAATACTGACATGAATGAGTTCTAAATAAGCAGTCATCACTTGATAAGAAAAAAGCACACACATAGCAGGGATCAAAGATAAACAGCGTGAGAATGGAGCAAACATCACAAAAGGTGAAGTGTAGATGGCTACATATTTGACGGCTGAGAGTAACAGAAGCAACGCCCAGATCACGTGATCTTACTCCTAATCAGTTTTCGTAAACACTGCTTCCATATTTATTGATGAAAACTACGCATTAAATTCCTTCCATAACGAACTATTTACATAAACAAAAGTCAAAGAACACAACCAACCTTGAAGTGCCAGTTACTACTGCTACTAGTACTACTATATTGCTACTAACTACTACTACTCGCTCTTTATTTTCCACTACTTATGAAATCAAGCAGATCTTTGAAGAAATCCATCCGCAAATTTTTTAGTTCTGTTCATGCAGTTTGAACTCGTTACTCTCTATGCTTATATATGTAGGAGGTGGTAGATAGGTGAATAGGTAAATATATAAATAAATAGTTTGATAGATTAGATAGATAGATGGATGGATAGATAAATAGGCAGATAGATAAATAAATAGATACATACATAAATGCATAGATAGATAATAGATTGATCCATCTTGTTCGATATAACTTTTTATTAGTCGCTTGTAATTATTATAGTTATAATTGGCATTAATTCAACAAAGTATTGTCTGCAATTTAAATTGGTCACTTTCCTTATCGTGACTGCTACACTGCACTAAACTTATTCTCCTTATTGACTATCGTGAGCATATAAAAGCAGAGGTGTTGAGGCAATTTCATATATGATTTTAAAGAAAAGTCACAATTTTCATGTTTTGCTAATTGTAATGCAATAAGATGTATTCAGAAGACTCTGATTAACAGCGTGGGAGTGCCAGTTAAACAAGTGAATGACATCTGTGAGATGATGGATTACTAGTCGAGTGAAGAGCAATATCATTACTTCAGACTACGATAATTATACAATTTAATACAATCTAACAACTAACTTTATGATCGTCATCAGAAATAGTTGTTTCTTACCAAATTTTAATCAGAAAATTTGTGACTTTTATTAGATGAGTTAACTTCCGCTATTTGTGTACATGCATGTCAAACAAATAGGAAATGATGTAAACTTATGTAGCTCACTTGAAGCACACTAAAACCCAAAGAAAAGGGTTCAAATATATATGATGACGGTAATCAGTACATTACAGATGCTACGGTGGACTTAATAAATTTTATTCTAGCATCAGTCCTTTGTGATCAACATTCTTGTCCATGATACACTAAACGACTCTGCCAACAGTCATTTCATATATCATGGTCAAGAATGATTCCCAGTGAATACTGATCTACAGCCATAGCTACCAGCACAGGAACTTCGTTCCAGGAACATTCACTATTTAATGACTTGACTTTGCGGAGCTGGTTTGCTTGTTTGCCGTGCTAGTAAAATGAACTGCCAAAAACAACTTTGCGTTCAAACTGAAGCAGAGTAAATAGAGAAGTCACTCTTTAGATCGTAGATTTACAGAAAACAATGGCTTAGCCTACTAAGCAAATCCTACCAGCCCTCTCCATTTACTAAAATCAGAAAGGCAAAACTAGCCCGCAGCGATACATATCGGTCGACGAGCGATGACTATTTGGTCAAAAGGTCGATGGGGATAGTAATGGTTATTCCCATCAATTCTACCACTTCTCAGCATCTCATTCCTGCTGACCCCTCGTCTATTAATACTCCTTCTGCTATCGACCTGAGAGGGAGTAAAACAAACGAAGATCTATACATGTATACATGTACATATATATATATATATTCTTTTCAACAGCTCAATTATACTAATCCAGTTTGGACCTTCACCACCACATCCGATAGTTATCTAGCTTTTGTACGTATTATGTTTGGCATTGTAACTACACTGTAACACCAATTTTGCTTGCGAACAACACTTGTTTCTATTCATAAATTTATTTAAAACATTGCGATAAAGCAACAGTGGCAACAAAAATATATGGCAACTTGGCAAGAAATATGCTTTCGTATTCAAACATGATTCAAAAAACAGATACCCTAAATGGAATAGAAAGGCAAGTCCTATGTGATCCAGCAGTACACAACGTCGCTATTGTGTTTTGCAAAGAAATACGCAAACGCAAACGATACATGAAATTTACCACGAAGAGGCTCACTCTGCCAGTAGTCTTGAAGCCATTTCTGCGCTTAAGGGTCACCATTTTGGTAAAATTAAATTCGATGCTACAACCCCCATACGATATAGGTTTCAGTTTAATACAGTATGCGAACATTATTCTGCTAACAAAATTGTAATCGAAATATGACACCAGAAATATAAAAATTTGTTATGAACTTCATGTGAAAGAGAGATAGAATGGAAAAACATGTAACAGACCCACTGGAGCGCCATCATAATAGTCAATAGTTTTATGGCATAAGGCAACGCTGAAAATGAAATATCAAGAAAATTGTCGAAAGATACATCATAAACAGAGGCCTCTAAAGAATTCCAGGCACTGTTGTGTTTAAAGACATCTTATTTACCATTATATACAAGAAGGCTAGAGAAGAGAAAACATTCAAAGGAACTTCAAATAACTTGAATTGAACTCAGTCTCTTCCACCACTGACAACATCTCTTACAGATCTCAATTTTACTTCTCTTTCTGATAAATTAGATACCGAAATCTTTTTGAAAGACGAAATTATGAATGCAGTCTACGTGCTGAACAATTTTTAAACAAGGTTTGCTTCTTCTTATCACTAAGAAGATAAAGCAAGAAAGTGTAGAAACACTTGGAGTCGAATGTTCGAAAAACACATTCTAAGCTTTATGCTTTATGCTTAGAATGTGTTTTCGAACATTCGACTCCAAGTGATACTGAAAATATCAACGAGAACAGTTATTAAACAACTCATGTACGGTAACATATAAAGGTTCCCATAAATGGACGCTGAAAAATTGAAATCTTATTGTCGTAACAGTAACGAGAAGTCACACTAGGCCCGACATAATTAATCATCTTAAAAGTACGATAAAAAATTATTCTAGAACAATATAAGATATGGAAATAACCAACGTAAAGAAATACTTCTGCCTGACTAACAAACTCATGGACAATTGATAAATTAACTGGTAAGATACTGTTAGCCAGAGATTCAATAAATTTCTTGTGTTGCATAATGAAGTGTGGTGATTATTTCATAATGATTCCTGAGTAAGGGAAAGAAACCGAAAGAAGAAATCAACAAAGAAACGATGTAGAAAACTGAAATTGGTTAGAAATCCTTGGGAAACGGCACGACGGGTGTTTTTAAGCTTTCCGGACTTCGACTAACGAAACTGTTGCGGCCGTAGGCGGGACAAGTATTACCATTCAAGTTCATAGCAGCACCCAGGAAAGGCATCAACGGAGACATCATAGCTGCAGTAGCCATCGCGGCCATGTGTGAGGGATTTGGTGGAAATTGAAAGATCGGTTGCTGCAAGCCAGCAGCTGTTGGAGTCAATTTTGATGTCGCAGCTGCAGCCATAGGTGATCCTATGGCTCCTAGCATCGGACTTACCGCAGCCGTTGTAAGTAACGATGCGAAAGGACTCGTAGGACATAAACCAGCAGAAAGTGAAGCAGCTGCGTAAAGCTGGCTGAATTGTGTCACTAATGGTGACGTGTTTGTGTACGCATTACCTGTATTGTTGTGAAGAAAGAAAGGTGAAGGTGCCAGCAGGTTGCTGTTGGACGACGTACAAGATGAAAGATCTGATCCATTTGAAAATGCGGCTGTAGCAGTAAGATTTAGGGGACGTGGTTTAACTCGCTTCAAAGAAGGTATCTGAGTTCCATTTCGACTCTCTGTTATCGTTGCCGAAGGATTCGATGGATATGATAGCGATTTAGCTAGAGGGACAGTGGAAGATGTAACTGTCGAAGATGAAGGTGTTATTGTGGTGACTGTTTCAGGAGTGCTACAAGTGAACATCGGAGTCTTGCGCTTCCTACATATTAATCCAATATCACTATTATTAGTATTCTGGAACGAGTTTTGTGGCGAACAGTGTCCTGATGTGCCGCTCAATGAACACTGATTACTAGTAGAAGGTATAGCCTGATAATCGACTGCTGTTGCTGTTGTGGAGTTCATGACCTTCAAACATGAATTTCCAGCATTCACAGGAGTAAATACGCTGACTGTAGCACCATCCAATCCTCCGTTATTCTCTATATTTTTGGTACTGGAATAAAGTAGCCATAAAGTTAAAAGCGCAATGTACTCATTATTCCATCTGCTCATGCAAAAAAAAAAAAAAAAAA